TTTTGCAACAGATTTCAAAAGTTATACGGGGTGTTTGAAAAATAGACGGAGATATTTTAAAATTATTTATAAAAATTAATAAACCAATTCTGCCCAGTGACATGCAATGAAACGGTTTATATTTTCTTTTCTCGAAAACGCAGTGAGATGCGAAAAAAAATACAAAAGGCAAGGAAGTTGTATTTTAAGATGCTTAATCAAGCAACAAATATTACAGTTACAAAAAAGGCAGTAACGTACATCTGTTTGTCAATAATATTCACTAAGGTGCCCCCGGAAGACCTCTGGACCTAATAATGTTCATCTATTTAGGGCTAAATGAGCCCCTTAATACAAAAAATAACACTGTCAAATTTCAATAGAATCGAGTAAATGCTTTTTGAGGTATAAATAGAACAATAATTAATTTTTTTCATATTTTTAACAAGGAATCACCCTCTGAAAAATCTCTCTATTTTTCAAATAGCCTGTATTTCCTGATAAGCTTGACTTAAACATGAACAATAATTAAGTTCAAGATTATGTAAAAAATACCTTTTCATCATTTCAATTGATGTTCGTCCTGCATGTATCAGCCTGCAATCATCTTCAAGGGCATAAAGAAATATAGCTTTTGGCGTCATTACGTTAGTTTCCCAAATTATTATGTCCCTGAATTTCTTCAAACGTATGGAAATCGTGAACGTTTTTAGAAGCTTTTGCTTGGAATCAGGCTGCAAATATTTCGTAGAACTTCATCAATATATTGACAGTAGACCATACTACTATTATCCACACATTTAGCTGCAAAGAGAGTTCATAAATACACTTAAATAACACCTCTGCTTATTTTGAAACAACAAGAAGGTTGAATCTGTATTTCATGGAAAATAGCATAAATTTAAGTACTGTTTTGAGTGGAAAGCATTTGGCCTTCGAAAATATATCTCTTGGGACGTTTCCAAGATCCTCAATAGTTTTATATATGGTTCAGGGGTTCGCGAAGTTCAAAACCAACCTTCTTGATGCCGTACTCTTCAATGCTTACCCTGTAAAAATTTTCATCATTCTTAACATGCTTTTATTGTTGCTCTTCACTCTACTCGTGTGTGCCCATAAAACATGCATCCAGCTATAGAGGCAGAACATTTTTTGGGACAGCTGCCATTATCATCAATATTCATTATATCACGTTTATCACGCTATAACTTGTACCATTCCTGAAATTTGGAGTGTCCCCCTCCAAAGCTCTATAAAAATATTTGGGCTATTACTCTGAAAGAGAACCTGAAAGTTTTAGGACAGCAATTCTGAAAAATACGTAAAAATAAGAAATGTCGATAAATTGTCAAAGTACATTACACAGAAGTCCTATCGTTGAAAATACATTTACCTCGAATATGCCCCTGCATAAATGAGCAAGGGCATGTTGTCTGTATCCCTCGCTGTGCCCCCACATCGCAGAGTGCCCAAAAAAAATTCCCTAACATTTCCGTAGCTACTCGCTACTACCGACCACTTATTTGTAGTTTCTGAAGCGTACGTTTTACATGATTCTTCCAATTCTCTCTACTTTCAAAGTTTCAGACCGTCTGATAGCATTCTGTTATTATTTTTGCCGTCTTTTCTACTGAACTGACGGCTTTTATTAGTGATTCCTAACTATCTAAATGGGGCACCCTGTCTGGGTGCAGGCAGTATCAAGAGTCTTCAACCTGTAGGTTTTACAACCTCGCAGCTCTCTTTCGTAGTCGCCTGTAAGCCCGACACCAAATAAGAAACCCCTAAATACACTTACATTTCAGCAAACTGCTCTAGTCCCTGGAACAAGTAGAAACAAAATGAGTATACAAGTACTACGTTATTAAATCTATCACTCTGACACAGGAAATTCGAGTGGTACAATTAATCTATCGAGCGTTTTCGCATGCTATAAAATTTTATAGCCATAACGGGCGAAAAAGAAGCAAAAAGTAGGGATTTTTTTGAAAAATCTCAAAAGTGGAAATATCTGGAAAACTAGAAAGCTTTCACTAATGTCATGTTGATTTTATCTGATTGATCTACCTCCCGTGTCACTCTGGCGTGTTATTTCTGGGACACCCTGTATAAATAAAATAGTTCGGTATAATACATTTTATTAAAACTGGTTCGCACGTAAGACAATGAATAATCACTTTATTTTCCTGTATTTGTATCCTTGTCCCTATGGAGCATTTTGGCAAAAGAAAAACGAACATTTCCGAATATTTCAGAAACCACTATTTAGCGATAATCTTAAAGAAAGCTATATTTTTATTGTTTAACTGTATAAATTATAAAGACAGGTAGTTCCATAAGGAAAAAACCTTTTAGGTTTTTGTAGCTTAGTTTTTATTACATACTCTTTTTTACTACTGTTTATTAATTATCCTAATATCGCATAAGGTCTACTAAAGCGGATCTTCCGTGAGATAAACGTTACAATCGTGTGACAACACAAATATAGGGTGTCCCAGAAATAACACACAAGAGTGACATGGAAGGTAGATTTACTTCAGATCAATCAGGTAAAATCAACATGACCTTAGTGAAAGTTTTCTAGTTTTCGAAATATTGACACTTTGTTTTTTCATCACTATATTTTGCCCCTTTTTGCCTGTTATGGCTATAAAGAACTTCTGACATATAATTCATTCCTGAGCTAATTAATAGTATGTTGAGATAACCGAGTATTCATTTCATTGAAAACTAGCACGGTATGCTAAAAAAATAAATTGTTACATTTTGTTTCAATGTGTAATGCTATTTTAAAAATAGTATAACATTTATAGATTCTTTCTACTAACAATTGAATAACCCCAAGTTTTATCACTGAAGTTGTAATACTTGCGAAATACTGAAAATAAAAGATAAGTGCAGCCGTCTTTTGTAACCAAATCACTAGGGAATGAAACGACATAAACATGTCATTGACTATCTCGATCTCACATTCGTTGTTCGGTGGTAGCATTATGTCACCACAAGAAACAGAGGTGGTACCTGCGCACCGCATGCGCAGGATTAATTTAGTACTGCTCCTTGTGTTTACTACGTGTAATAAGAAAGACTTGAAAGTGGCAATATCTCTAAAAATACAAAACGTTTACATCATGTTGATTTTATCTGATTGATCTGAAGCCAATCTAGCTCCCATGTCACTCTGACGTCTTATTTCTGGGACACCCTGTATAATACGATTGAAGTATTTGTCGGCCTACACTTGCCACACGTTACGTTTTCAAAATTCTTATTCACCCTGTACTTTCGAAACGAAAACGATGTAAGGGCAAAGAATTAGTTCTTGATTTTTTAATGAACATACTTCACAAATAAAAGTTCCACTCAGAGAATTAAAGAGTGATGTATGATATTGCCAGAATATTTGAAAACAAAGATCTGGGATTTTGGGCTTACTGCCAATAATAAACAAAGTCCTATAGGACTTTGGCAAAGAACTCCCTTTCTTTAGTTCGCACTTTTGCTGCTACGTAGTAGATGCAAGCCCAAATACAACATGAATATAGTGCAGGGGATGGCGAATCTTCAAAATTCATCCTCTTAAAAATATCGATTGTATGGAGGTATTTATTTCTTACAAAAAATTGTAAACAACTTTATATACGAGAGATAGAATATGAACACGTAATACAATCGATATTTACAAGGTTTTGTACATGATAGTGTGCTCATTATGTATTTACATTTACTATAGACGAGGCGAAAAAATTCGTGGGATAAGGTTGCCCGGAGGTAACTCACTGCAAAGCGTAAACAACTACAAACTACAAAAAACATCTTTTTGGCCCGTACAAAGTGTAGACTATTTGGATCATTGTGAATAAAAATTGTTTCACTCTAAAAGGGTCGTTTTCGAGTTATAAGCGATTGAATATCTGAAAAACCATAAAAATGATCTCTCATGTTACTCAATTAAACTTCAAACCTACTCCTACTTGGCGTATTTATATAATAACGCGCATTGGAATACGCATTAGCACCTCGCGTTGCTAACAATTAAGTAATAATACTTTAAGATATACTAATCTTAAAATACTCCTCGGAGTTTTGAACGAAAATGTGCGAAATTTAACTTAGACGCACGGCGACTAGACGATAATTTTAACCCGCGTTTTAAAGCATTGAAGATCGATATTTTTAAGGTTTCTCAGAACTTTAATCGTTTCTAACATGAAAACGTTTAACTTTAGAGAAAAATTGATAATGACTTTTGACTACAACAATATAAGTCAATCTTGAGATTACGAGCTCAAAGCTAACACAGAAGTAGATGACTATGCTTAACTCACCTAGTCTGCTCTAAAGACATTCAGCTCACGAAGGTCAGACAAATGCTCAATATCCAACGTAAAAATACTCCACTCGCCTTTTATGAACAACCATAACACATTTTCATACAGAATTACCACAAAATCACTCACACCACCGTCGCGACACTGCGTGTTAGCCCACAGTAGAGATGATCGATATATCGGTACCGGCGACCTTTCCCGGTGACTTGAATGGTCGCCGTTAGTCCCGGCGACCTGATTCTCCATGAAGCAGCGACCCAGATCGCTGTTTGGAAGTATCGGTATCGGTAACCACTGATCGGTAGCTGTTTCGGTCGCGGTCGCTGCCAGGAAGCATATACACATCGCGTTCGCGATCATCGCGCGGGAAGTACAGGGTCGCTACAGCGTAGCCTAACCTATTTTGTTAGTTTTTATTGTTATTGTTGTGAGTTCCTGTTTCATAGAAAAATGTTTCGTTTATTAAGCAATGTTTAACATATAAATGAAGCACATTTATACTACATTTGTTATGTTTTAAAAGTTTTATTTTGACTGGTAAAATAGTATTTTGTTTTACTTTTTAAGATTCATAGAAAGATATTTTTATGATTTTATGTGTTTTGTGCTCAATATTGTTAAAACAAAAACCTTAAATATAGTTTAATTCAAATCTTCAGGAACCTGAACATCTACACCTCGTTAATATAAATGGATAACCGCCGCCAAATATCGAGTAATTTAATCAGTGCCAGGGAGTCGCTGGCTGGTGGCAGCGACCATAGATAAACAGTGACCTAAAGCGCTGCTAAATCTACCGGCGACTTTAAGGTCGCTGTCACCGGTATCCCGGCGACTTGCAAGTCGCTGCTAAGATCATCGCTAGCCCACAGCGTGTATTACGCCGGTACATGCGCCGGTACCGCTATTCGTTCTGCGTCGTCATTGGTTGGAACTTAGTCAGGCGTTTTTCCACCACCCAATCTCCTTTGGGCATTTACGTAAACACTAGAACATCAGAAAAAACGTATCACAAGTTTATCACAAAAAAGAAAAGAAACAAGTAGACTGATCATCCTACCTCAAAGCAACTTAAAATAAACGCATAAATTGTCCACGATTTTCCCAACAGATCATTTTGAACAAAACATTAAACTTTTTATTATTTTCAATATTCCTGATATTAGAAGGAATCAAATTGTAAAATTTAGGTTCAAGATAATTATGGGACACATAAAACTACATATACTGCAATGATATATTTCTAAGATTTTAATATTGTTAATTTCCTGCATAGTGGGATATAATCTAGGTTTTTTTTTCGAATAATCCTTACAATATGGTTCTGCACCACTTTTAGCTGCCCAAGATTTGAACCGTACATCCCACCCCACACAAATATGCCATATACCAAAAGGGGCCCCTCAAGTGCTTTGTAAATCATCAAAATCTATGCACATGCTGGTCCCACTTCAAGTGCTGATCAACAACAACCCCCAAATATTTAATTTCATTTACTTAATTCAAAGGCTCATCTATATTATCAGGCGTAATTTGATTAAATGCTGGTCTATTAACCATTGTTATGGAGAAGGCAATGTAATGAGTTTTTTATATTCAAAGTTAATTTAAATGTGTCTAGAAAGTTCTTAAGCATTATAATGACGTTTCAGGTCTTTTCGTTATTTTAAACAATAACAATAGGGAACCTTGCCTTTGGCTCGTACGACTTGTGACAATTTCTTTGAAGTACATTTTTCTATTAGAATCGCTTCATTAATAGGGTGTCCATGCTAAGGCTGACAACACTGCTGATTCTACTCAATCCGAAGAATAGTTGTTTACTCTTGGCTTTCTCTAAGTATGGTATATTGTGAAACTAATAAGTCTAAGTCAATAATCTTCTAATCAATTACGCTGATTAACGCTTTCCACAACACGTGAGAATAAAAAAAAACATGTTATATGCACAAGAAGCACTTCGCATACATACATTTATACTTATTTTTTGTAAATATCCCAAATTCCCGTAAAAAACGCTCACATACTATACCAAATACCAAAAAAACAGACGAAGATATATACCAAATATAAAAAAAGCAAAAGCTTAAAAATTTTGAGATTTGCCGAAAATTGTCTCATCAAAAATTGTTTAAAATAATGTAGAAATTAATATTATGTAATTAGGATGAGTAGCTGGTATGAAGTACAGCTGTAATAATCTAATAATATCAATGTAAAATTATTATTGTAATGGCGAATGAACATTCATTCATTCATTGGCAACGCATCTTCAAAGATAAAGAAACTTAAATTTCCGTGAAGGGGGTTAAAAATCACCCCATTTTTTTGATGAAACGATTATTTTGTTGAAATAGGTCATTATATCTAATATTACGTATTGTTTTGGCTTTGTTGAAAAACATAGCGTCCTCCTCCTTGTTTGCATTGTGGCTTACTGACCGCATTTCAGCTATAGGGATGCGCGATACGATACGATCTTTTAAAGTATCGATACTTCTGCTTTCGATACCCGATATTTTGTATCGATATTTTCATTGCGATACATCACTAATATCGATACTTTTGCTTGTATATCGGATCATACGATCCGCGGATTGAGAAAGTTGCGGCATCTAGTTATGACGAGTGTAAATCCCGCCAAGGAAATTTGTAGGTCGCTACTACATCGAAGCCGGCAGAGATGTAGTAGCGATGACATCTATCGTTGCCCATCATGAACCATCAAAGATGGAATCCACCGATGATTACTGTTGAATAAACGAAAGCGTCCTATACTATATTGTTCTGTGGTTGCCAAGGTGATCGACCATGTTGCGGGAAAATAGGGGAATCACCAGAAATCGTGGAATTGTGAGGTTAAGTTTTAACTTGTTTTAATTATCAAAGTAATTATAATATAGTTGCAGTAAAATTAGTTTTTCTGCCTTATCATGCCACCGATAAGAAGCAATGTGTGGAAAGTATTTGTGAAAACTAGTTCAGGAGGGAAATGCAAATTGTGTCAGTGTGTCGTAAAAACAGCAGGGAACACCACAAATTTAAAAAAGCATCTAAAAAGAAAACATCCAAATTATGATATAGATACACCTCAGGAAGAAGCAAAAAAGGAACAGAACAAAAACAATGTAGGTAAACGTTTATTTATAATATTTATTATAAAATCTGTCAGAATTTTTTTAGATATATTATGTAGTCACATTAAAAAGTCGATTATTATTATTTTAGCCTAACAAAGATTCATCGTCTGATGCTAATCAGCACTCAATTTCGAGTTGGTCTATAGTTTCTTCGGATGTTGATAAACTGGAAACACCAGATGAACCACTACCTTCCTGTTCTTCAGATCAGCAATATTCTAGCTCTGGTTCTAAAGGAGTGTCACTTTCTCGCCAATCCTCAATAATAGAATCATTTTCAACCATTAGGTCATTTTCAGATAAGTCGTCTTTGATTTTATATACCAGATGATCTTGTTTAACAGCTCATGTGTAGAGTTGTAAACTTGTGATTAAGAAATTACTTCTGAAAGGTTGAAACTTTTAACACTAAGAACAACTATGTATATTTTATTAGTTACTGTGTTGAGAAAAATGAACATTGGTATAGTAAAATTTTACATTTAATATACAGGGTCAACAAGAAATGAAAATTGGTGAGCTCATAAGTTCAAGTAGTTAAATATTATATTACCCAAAACGGCCTGATTGAAGAGGTGGAAAATTTATGAAAAATTTTCACTTTTTTTTTAACATAATATGTATTTCATGTCAGGAGTATTTTTTATAAGCTTGTTATTTTTTGTAGATGGTGGTGGAAAAGCTGGAAAAATCACCAATGCTATCATATTCATGATCGCAAAAGACAACTTGCCCTTAAACACTCTACAAAAAGAAGGTTTCAAATATTTCATGAAAACAGTTGCACCTTTATACTATGTACCCGATCGCAAAACACTATCTAAGTTAATTGATGAAAAGTACGGTTTATTATCAGGTATGTTTAAACAAAAGCTTCAAACAGTACACAATATCACAATTACAACAGACATATGGACAGAAATTAAAACAACAACAAGTTTCCTAGGAGTGACAGCACATTTTCTGTTGGATGGTAAACTAATTTCTCTGACAATAGGAGTGTATGAGTTGGACCAAAGACATACTTCAGAATATTTAGGGCAATGTCTTTCATCTATTTGTGAAGAATGGAATATTTCTGATTTAAAAATCACAACTGTAGTTACAGACAACGGAGCAAATATAGTAAAAGCTGTGTCTGACTTATTTGGGAAAAACAGGCATCTGCCCTGTTTTGCACATACGCTAGATCTGGTGGCATCAAAAATTACTGACAGTGAAGATGTAAAGCCTCTTGTTGTTAAAGTTAAATCTATTGTAACTTATTTTAAGCAAAGCGTATCGGCAGCCGATGATTTAAGAAGAGCACAGCCAGACAATAACATTTTAAGATTAATACAATCTGTGCCAACTAGGTGGAATTCGACCTTTTACATGTTGGACAGATTTACTAACTTATATGAATATATAGCTCCAATTTTACTAAAAAACCCAAAGTCACCAGCCATATTAGATGCATCTGAATTGGAAAAAATAAAAGAACTTTTAAATATTCTATCTCCTATCGAGGCAGTTTCAAAAGAAGTCAGCGGCGAGCAATATTTAACATCAAGTAAGATTATACCTATTGTTAACTGCCTTTTTAAAAATATTGGAAATTTATCCCCATCTTCTAAAGAAATATTAGCTTTAAAAACTACAACAATTAATGAACTTTCTAAAAGGTTTGGGGCTATAGAACAAAATAAATTATTAGCTGTGTCAACCTTATTAGACCCCCGTTTTAAAAAACTACATTTCAATAGTCCAGTGGCATGTGCTAATGTTGTTACTTTTATTAACCAGTCAATTCAACAATTACGTGAATTGCATAACCAAGACCAAATGAAAAATGCTCCAAACTCACAAAGTCAAAGTGCTCAACCGCCTCAACCTCAACTAAATAAATCTCAAAGCTTATGGGCTTACCATGAAGAATTAGCTGCCAAACATACTTTAACGCAGGTGGATACTAGGGACAGCCTTGACTATGATTTTAAAATATATTTAAACAGCCAAACACTACCAATATTGTCAGACCCATTATCTTACTGGAGCACACACGCGTCACATATATTGAAAGAAATAGCTCATAAATATTTATCTATTGTGGGAACCTCAGTTCCATCAGAAAGGCTTTTTTCCAAAGCTGGAAATATTATTAGCCCAAACCGTAACAGGCTTAGTGGAGAAAGATTATCAGAGCTTTTATTTTTAAGTTCCTTAAATTTTGAAGACTGGAACCTATTATAGTTTTGTTTTTTTTTTTTTGTTATTTTTTATAGCAGTTGAAGAAAAACCTGTATTATGTTGGTTTATATATATTTATATTTATGTTGATTATAATATTTTAGTTTTTACATATCAACACTTGTTAGTTCAAGTTAAACATTGGAACTGTATTTTTTTATATTTTCTTTTATATATTTATGTATTTTTTCATACGAGAATTATTTTTTATTTTTTTCTGTTATAAATGATTAAATGTGAAAATTATACAAACAAATATACGAGTATTTGATTTTGGAACCCAAAATTTATTAATCAATCATATAATGATTTAAATTCAAACACGATTCCTAATTTTTTTTGTAACGGATAAGATTACGACTTACAGAATAACTGTATCGAGGTATCGATACCTTAGGTATCGATTCTTTTACAGCGATATTTTCCTGTATCGATACAATTTCTCACGATACGGATCGATACCAAATATCGATACATTGAAGAATATCGCGCATCCAGCAGCGCAAGCTGCCCAAGGTAGTCATTCAGAATGGTGGACTTTGTGGTGGCTACTAATATGCAGCGCCATCTATTGAAGAGTAGCCGAATCAAAAATTCATACTTATGTCTTTCTTAAATGATTTTAAGTTAATTCTGTGCATTTTCAACTAGACAAAAAAGATTGTTTAGTTGGGCTACCATCCCATAGATGGCGGTTCTTTGTAAATTGTTATCCTAAGTCACACAAAATTTAACTAGTCAAAAGGATCCTTTAAGGACGGTCGGTCGGGTTTTGGGAAGTCTCTATGGCAACGCATCTTCAAAGATCAAGAAACTTAAATTTCTGAAAGAGATAGAGAGAGTTTATTATATCTAATATTAACGTATTGTTTTATCTTTGTTGAAAAACAAAGCGTCCTCCTCTTTGCTTGCATTGGGGCTTACTGAACGGATTTCAGCACCCCAAGGTAGTCATTCAAAATAGTGGACTTTGTGATGGCTGCCGATATGCAGCACCATGTATTGGAGAGTAGCCGAATAAAAAATGTATCCATCCGTATACCTACCTTAAATGATTTTAAACTAATTCTGTAACTAGTCATCCTTTAGGGCTGGTCGCGGTTTGGGGGTTTCTATGGCAACGCATCTTCAGAGATCAAGAAACTTAAATTTCCGTGGGGGAGGTTAAAAAATTTCCCCATTTTTTGATGAAAAGATTGTTTTGTTGGAATAGTTTATTGACCTAGTCTAGTGACTGGCTTAAGCGAATAAATAGCCTACCTGTTGGTGATGGCGATAACTGAAGAGCGGGGTTGAGGGGGGTGAGGCATAATAATACTCTAAGAATCCATTAAAAAGATGGAGGTGAGGATGAGGGGTTGTTATACATGTGTAATATTAACGAAACGAAGTTTGTGTACAGGGGGGGGGCGGATCCAGAGGTGGCGGGACTGCTGTCGAATGTTCTTGTGATATTGTGACAACGGGAAAACGGGGAGGAGAGTTACCGACTATTGAAAATTGAAGAACGGGGAGACGATAATTTTCTGCGTATTTACGTTTCCTCGGTGACCCTGGAGGAGGGTGGTTCTATCCCCTCTCCCGGTTATCGTACAAAAATTGTATAATAATCGTACATCAAGCAACACTATATCAAAAATGTTAGGATGGGATGTCGTTGATATTCTCGGAACACACGACACCTTGACATGACATTTGACCATAAGCGTCATTGTGCTTAGAGAACAGAATTGCCGCTGTTCCTCGTTTCATGTTTCACTAATTTCTACTGAAAACCAAATTAGTATGACGGCTTGAGTTCATGTATTCGAGAGAAGTGTCTATAGACACATATGATAGAAAGAGATAAAAGCCGGCTGGATAGCGAAACTGATCACCGCATTGCCTGTCAACGCTGACGCGACAATCTGCGCCTTGTTGCCATTATGTTACACCAGTTCCTTGAATTGAGATGCATGTTGAAAACATGCGTTAGTTTACTCTCTACCGATCTTGTACATTCCAAGGCAAGGTTTCCACCTCCATGATCATAGACGAGCGATTTTGGTCAGTACCCATCTAGCGTTCATTGAGGAGTGTCGCCCTGCTCCTTCTTTTGTTTGACAGTAACCTAACCTATTTGGCAACGCGGAAGCTTGCACGAACTCAGACAAATCTGATTTTTTCTGTATACACATATTATCAAAAATTGATTACAAATTAATTGGCGTCAGAAATGTTAAAAATCTCCAGATATCGCCAGTTTGCTGGATACTGGGTACCATTAAAGTAGCCAATCGCCAAGCTATCCATTTGAAGCCGTCAAATCGCCACTTTGGCGAAAAATGGCAACCCTGAATCCCGGAAAGGACCACGTCACGACGAGATACCGGTAATACAGTTACCTCGATTTTGCCTGGACTTTGGTGTTGCCAGTTCGCCCATTAGACGTTCCACCCCCCTGGTTGTTACAACCGACCAGAACAAGGTACACACTTGGTTAATTTGGGACGCTCATTTCGAATGTGGACATCGAAAAATGCTAAAGGAGCCTTACTTACATTAAGGTAGTGGGGCTTTCCGACCGTCTCGTCAATAGGAGCGGAAAATGACACAATCTACGCACCCAAGAAACGGATTTTGGTCAAGATTGCAATTACACAATATTTTGGAATATTACTATTATCATAATGTCTTTAAACTTTGAATCGTCTCAATGCATACTTTCCGCTTTCATCTCCCGTTGTTACAAGCAAACGAAACTCAGTATATTGGTGTAATTTGGGACGCTGATTTCGAATGTGATCCTTTTGAAGTAAGAAAGACTTTCGGACGCTCTCATCAATCTCTCTGTGAGAAACTGACATCCAGTTTCATGATTTGCTCGAGGATGTACATACGCAAGTATTTAGCAGAATCTGAAGAAACCGCTTTTGACTAAAAGTTTATCAATGCAAAATTTCCATTTTCGTCTTCCATTGCTACAAGCGAACGAAAATCGTTACACTGAGATAATTTGGGACGCTGATTTTGAATATAGGGCATCAAGAAATGCGCTTTTCGAGGCCCTGTTTGGAGTAAGAAAATGGTCGCTCATGTGAATCTTGGCTAAAAACACGTCAAATTCGTAATTTAAGCACTCGATCTACCCAACAAGGCTTTTGCTCATGAATGCACATACTCAAGGATTTTTTAAAATGTTCTCAGTAATACGTCTTTTCACTTCAAAGTGTCTTAATACAAAATTTCCATTTTCGGCTCCAGTTGTTACAAGCGAACGGAACTCATTATACTGAGGTAACTTGATGCACTGTTTTCGAATATAACCATGAAAAAATGGCGTCAAGTAGATGGATTCTGCACTCCGCAACGCTGTAGTCAGTTCATAAAGGATTACGATCGGCACAAGTTGGCCCTTCGGAGAAAAATGTTAGCTACAAACATGAATAACAAAAACATCAAGTGGATCAACTTAGTCAAACGGGCTCATATTCAGGGTGTCCAATAAGAATCACGACAAACTTAAGGAGAAGGTAGACTTTGGACTGACCTCCCAATAATAAAAACTTACAACTTTTTGACTTGTTTTGACCTCTCCTATTACCCATTTCAATAATAACTACCATAACGTTTACACCATTTATAACGTTTTTCTATTCCAAATAGTACGTGTGGCGCCTTTCTGAAATATGTATTCAATGAGCAATATTTTATTCAATAAATGCAGTTAAAGCCCAATACATTTTTGTTTCACCACAGATGGTCAAAGTTGAGAAAACAACATAAGAAGGTTATAAATCCCAAAACACTCCTTATTTTATCATGGTTCCTGAATATCTTTTAACTACATTGCATTTGTATATCATAAAGCAACTATCTAGAAGTATTTTAAATAAAAAATGAACAAATTATAACCTTATTTGTACATGTAGCTACCACATATGAAAAGGTTCGTTTTTTTTTAAATTTGAGAAAAAATTCAATATCTCAAAAACGGTGATACTTTTATATAGGTAAGTTTTTGTTATTTAGGAGGTCAGTCCAAAGCCTACCTTCTCCTTAAGTTTGTCGTGGTACTCATTGGACACCCTGTATAAATTAAATAAAATAGGCGATGAACCACTTCAAAAATTATTTATTGGGATGTTGAAGGCTGTACAGCAAAGTATAGAGTAATCTTATCTCTAACAATATGCGTATTTATAATAAATCGGTATCTTGAAGGAATTTGTTATGATGGGAAAGTACATAGGAACATTTACTCATAAATACAGGGTGGCCCATAAGTCCTTTGAGCTGGAAAAAAAGGAATAAAACCAAACTAGTTACATTATGAAGAATTATTATATATTGTTATCATCTTTATTGAATGGGAATTATGTTTTAAAAATCACATCGTCTAAATGCAATCCATTACGATCACGGCACTCATATAAACGACGTCTAAAATTGTCGATGACTGCGCGGCAAGTCAACACTGTAATGCTTGCCATTTCTCTTCGGATATTTTCTTTCAGGACATCAACTGATCGCGGAGTGGTGTCGTACACTTTACTCTTGAGGTAGCCCCATAAAAAGAAGTCCATTGGGGTCAAATCTGGACTACGTGGTGGCCAGGAAATGTCTCCTCTTTGAGAAATTACTTTGCTGGGAAAAAGTTGACAGACGACGGGCATAGAAGTGTTGGAGGTGTGGGCAGTTGCTCCGTCCTGTTGAAACGAGGTCTGCGTATTATAGCCTGGAAAATTCTGCAACGCTGGTGTCAAAAACTCTTCTATCATTGCTACATACCGCTCCGAAGTAACAGTTAATGCGCGACCTCTGTCGTCCTCAAAAAAATAAGGGCCTACGATGCCATGCGCTGACATAGCCGCCCAAACTGTAACTTTAGGGCTGTGTAAGGGCTTCTGATGCTTACGCCTTGGATTTTCGGGGCTCCAATAACGGCAATTTTGTTTATTTACATGCCCGTTTAAATGGAAGTGAGCCTCGTGCGAGAACAACACATTATTGAGCGAAGAAAATCGATTCAACATTTCATTCGCAAAGTTTAGTCTCTGAATAGCGTCATTATCTTTTAATTCCTGCACTAACTGAATTTTGTGAGCGTGCAGACGTAAATCTTTCCTTAAAATCCGCTGTAAAGATGTTCTGGGTACGTTTAGTGCACTGGAACGCTTACGAGTAGACTGGGTAGGATTTTGACGAACAGACTGTGCCACAATGTTGATGTTTTCTTCAATACGAGTTGTCCTTGGTCGACCCCACCGCTGTTTATCTAACGTCGAACCAGTCTCTTCGAACTTAGCAATCTAGTTCTTAATCGTTTGAGCTGTTGGGCACTTTGTAAAATTGTGTAAATTGTGGTATTCTCGATATTTACGCCGCGCAATGGTTGCCGAATCATTATTTTTATAAAACGCGCGCACACAAAAAGCACGATCCGCTCCAGTGAAACACTCCATGGCGACTGAATTCCCAGACACTGAAGATACTGCCCCCACCTCGCCCGCGCCGCTCACGCTCACCCGTTAAATTTTATTCAAATTTGAAATTTCAAAGGACTTATGGACCACCCTGTATAAGAAAGTATACATAGATATCATTGACATCATAATTAACAAGAACTCATAAGAAAAGTAAATACCGAGAATATACAGGAATAATAAGATGTTTACTAAATTACGAGGGTGATGCCATAATTTGTATAATTAAAATGTGCATGACAAGCATATCTGTACAATTTTGTGGCTCTTTAGGATTTGGCTTCCTTGAGACAATATGCTACCCTCGTTCTTTAAAATACTCGTACTTTGGAGTCTGGTATACTTTCACACAAATTTATCTCTTGTAGATGGATGGCCCTCTCCGCATGATCGAAACTATATACATCTGGCATATATGACGATAGACTGTCTTCATCCAGTGGAGCAGCGGAGACCGACTGCTACTCATGTTCATCGGCAGGATCGCGAAGTGGATGACCAATACGGCTTTAAGTGTAAATGAACTGGGAAATCTATTGTTAGAATCAAAATAATGAAATTACGGACGCTAACTTTTGACAGACAAATGTAGTAAATACGACCCCGACCGCCCACGGTCGGCACGCCGGTGGTCGATTGAGGCCAGTCTGTGCGTAACGCTCGAGTAGTACGGAGCCTGTTGTGATCTGTGTTTTGCAATTGTTTACATTGTCTTATCTCTGTAATTCTTACACTATGATGAGTAAATTATGGTAAATCTAATAGTTGCGTAAAACTACTGCGACTGGAGACATATATGAGTATACCAACGTTCAAAAATTGGGATATACCCTCCCCCATCCACCACAACCACCCATCCCCAGTTTTTTACCACTATAAAATTTTTCAAATAGGATCCTCTGAAACGTCAAAAAACTTCAAAGTTTGAGCGAATGTTATGTTTTTTTTACCTTTTTCTACTAGCTGCGCCGCCACTTTATTTTGTGAAAATTGCATCAAAATCGGAAAGATACTTTCCAAATTATAGCGGGGTCAAGGATTAGCGGAACGACAGGCACACGTAACATCAAAAAAATATACCTAATAGCTCATCTTCTCTGCATTAAGAGTAGGACGTGCTTGGTTGATACAGCGACAAAAGATGTCATTTTTTAACTCTTTGGTAAGACCTCTTAATACATGTCGCTACGTTTAGGAAATCTTTAATCACAAATGAGTGGGTGCATATCGGAAAAGACATAACCTATCCGACTAAATACCGGGTAGAGGAGCAGATTTTCAGGGTAACAATTTGCCCGGTGGGGTTGGATATATACGTGGAGATGAATTTGGGCTTCATTTTTTTCCCTGAGACCACTTATGAAGACATGAGCAGGCTATGTAAAAATTCAGGGTCCAATGTCGAACGGTTCAATCTGGAGACGCGCTTAAAGTTTGAAGTTTCAGAAAAAATGAGAGTTTTAACGTATTGTCAGCTTTTTCATTTTCTCGCTACTCTTGTTTCTAGAAAGCATTAGGCCGCATAATTCCAGAGTTAGGCAGATATTTCAGTCAAAATTGAATCTTGCAAAAATGATCAGTTTTATTGGGCTGACCAGGGCCTTCTAAAAAAGATGCTCTGAAATAATGTTTTAGTAAAGGAGTTTTATCTTGGATCAGCCTCACCGCCTATACGAGTCAGGTCCGATAAGTACTTAGCCGCACCGACCGATGGCGCCACTATCGCAAGAGAAATTGAGTATCGTGTAGTACATTCTGTTAGACGGCTACTGTCAAAATTTCAGCCAAATCGGACTCGTAGTTTTGTTTTGACCACGTATGGAAGCGGTCGTGTCCGCAGATTTAAAAAAAATATCGGTCGGTGATTCCATTCTTGTTTTTGGAAGGGAAATCGTGCAGCGAAATTAAACATCGCGTGGATACTGTGTACGGTGACTCTGCTCCTTCGATGGCGACCGTCACAAATTGGTTTAACGAGTTTCAACGTGGTCGCACGTCAATTTTTGATGAGTTACCCCAGGTGCCCTGAAAACGGCTACCACGGAGAATAAGGTGACAAAAATCCACGATCTCGTGTTGGCAGACCACCGATTGAAGGTGCGCAAAACAGCTGAGACACTGAGCATGCGAAAGCTGTCTGCACGATGGGTGCCGCGTATGTTTAAGCGCAATCGTTTCATGCTCGTCGACGAAACATGGATCCACTGGTACACACGAGAGACCAAGGAACAGTCGAAACAGAGGACTTCACTCGGCAAACGTGCTCCGAAGAAGACAACGACTGTCCTATCGGCCGGAAAGGTGATGGCCACCGTTTTCTGAGATTTACAAGGTGTGATCTACCTCTACCACCTGGAGAAGGGAGAAACGGTCACAGGGCTCTGCTATGCCGAACTATTGGACCAATTCGGCGCCGACTTACAGAAAAACGACCCGGTTTGGCGAAGGAAAAAGTGCTCTTCAACCATGAAAACGCACCGGCCACACCTCCGCCATCGCCACGGCCAAATTGGTCGAATTAAGCTACGAACTGCTGTCCCATCCACCGTATTCTCCAGATTTGGCGACGTTTTTTGTTTCCAAGCTTGAAAAAGTCACTCACCAGGCAGACATTTTAGTCGAATGAGCAGACCTCCAGAAAATGTAAGGGTTAAAGATGTTGGAGCATCGCTGGGTCAAGTGTATCGAACTAAAGACGTTGAACAAAATAAATCGCCACTTTTCCAAAAATTTTGTTTTTCTTTTGTAGGCTAAGTACCTATTGGACCGCCTTCGTATAAATGAAATTTCACACTTAAACCTTAAATAGATTGGATAGGCCTTTGGATCCCATTTTTGACATTTTGGACCAAAATTGGCCACTTTCACGATGCTGGAGGGCATGTCATGTATCATATCAAGCTCAAGTTTGTTTCCTGAGGAGCATATACGAAATCGTGAGACTGTAAAATCTCAAATTTCTAGGTTCAGCAGTTCGTTTAGGAGACGCGTTTTAACGTTCGGAAAAAATATCTTCTATGTTGGGATGTTTTGAAGAGCAAAAAAAACTCACACGCCACTTCTTACCCAAGGATTGGGTATCTTATTAAGAACATTTCACTTTGAAGCAGAAGCCAGGGGAGCACATGGAGCATATTCATTGACGATGCGATGCGATTCTGAACATCACGAAACTCCTCCATTTGAAATACGTGTTTGAAGATAAACCTAACAAGAGACAAGAGGTTCCAAAAATATAAAAAAATACCACTGCGCATGCCAGTTAAAATACATTTATCTCCCTGACGTGGGCAAAAAGTTGTATGTACAGCGATATATTATCATGCATTACGACATAATCAAATTCAAGCGAATAACCAATTGGAAATGGTATTTACCATTTTGGGTTGGTATTTACCGATCCGTTCAAGCGAGTGTAGTTATCAGTTTGGTTATAAGATCCGTGACGTCACGAATCAGCTGTTATATGTCATAGTTATCACCGCAAAATTGTGGTATTTACCCAACTCAAGAGTAGTTTTATATTTCTGGTTATTATTTGAAGTGTGACAAGTTAGAATTTTGCCGGGATTTGGATATTGTTATTGTACTTCAGCTTCATTTTTGCGAAAATTTATACAGGCTGACTTCAGTTTTACCATAAAGTGGAGCACCTTATTAGTTATACTCATTGCTGTTGGGAACACTTTCAATCTAGTTCCTATGTTTAACAAAGTATCCTGTGTAGCCATATACCACAAGAATATTCAAATATGGCCATTTAACTCTCTGGATGATGTCCACCTGTATACGGTTTTGCTAATATCTTTTTTCATCATTTCTGCGAAATCAATAAATGTTTTCTTTGACATGCGGAAAACTTTAGAGAATTGAAAGTTATCATAGCTACAAAACCATGGTTCCATCAATAAAAAAAAATTCTGGAAAAAAAACATTTCTCCCATGAATATTATGAAAGGTTTCTTATTTAAACTTTACATACACCAATGTAGACAAAAAAGCACCGATTATTAAGTGATAATAAAAATAATCAGAGATTATATACGCACTTTTCTAAAATAAACAACTTGCAACAAAACCGCGGTTAAAACCAACGCGTTCAAGCGATTTGTGTAACTGGCGTCATCAACCCGTGTGTCATCTTGAACCATATTATAACCGCGGTACAAAACACAGAAATTTTGGTTATTCGCTTGGATTTGATTATACAGGGTTACCCAAATTAAGTGTCCACCATTAGTAACTTTGTTATTAGTGAAAATACAAAGTTGTTTGAATTAGCAAACTAGTAGCATTTTTAACGCTGGTAAAAATGAGAAATAAAAAAAACAATTGAGAGTCGTTATTTTGATTTTTTTCAGTAAAATAACATTTTTTTAAATGGAAACCCCTGTATATTATATTTTTTTCTGTTAAAGCATCAAATTTTAAACAAAAAAGTTCATAATGACTTTTCCGCTAAAGTCAAAAATAAAGTCAAAATAACGATAAATATTTTTAATTATTTGCAGTATTATAATATTAAGACGGCTATGAAAACAACATGGCGTTCGCGATTTGACAGCATTAAGATAAGCGACAAATTGTTAAACTGGACATACTCGCAACTAGAAGGCTTTGGAAAACAATGATAAAATCAAATAATGTCAAACATTAGTGTAAATACTTGTTTATAAGCTTTATTGTGTCATTAATTTAAAGAAAAATGTTCTCCCATGAAGAAAAGTGTGATATGTTAGAATGCTATTTAGTGTGCAGAAAATCCTCCTTGAGAGCAAGAGAATACTACAGTGAATTATATCCCGCTCGCATTCAACCGTATGAACGATATTTTCTGAGACTTTATCGAAAATTTAGGGGCAACGAAAATGTTTTTGCTAAAACAAGGGCAAAAAAAAGTATTCATAATAAGCGAGGCCACGGAAATTGCAGTTATTGGATATTTTGAAGCTTATCGTGAGAATTCAATAGCAGATATTCTCAAGGACTCTAATTTCAGTTATGGTACTGTTCAAAGGATTTTAAAAAAATACAAATTTATTCCGTATAAGTACCGACCAGTTCAAACGCTTTTGGCAGGGGATCCAGAGAGAAGACTTGTTTTTTGCCATTGGTATCTTAGCTTCTGTCGCCAAAATGTAAATAACTTTCGTTACCTTTTATGGACAGATGAATCAAATTCTTCAAATTCTGGAATGTTTAATAGAAAAAACCACCATTATTGGTCAAGAGAAAATCTTTTGTTAGTACATCCAAGAGGCCCACAAGTCCGTTTCAGTTTCAACGTTTGGTGCGGTATAATTGGTTCAAAAATTGTTGGCCCGTTCTTTTATGAGGGAACCCTAACTGGTGAAAGATATGTATGTCGAATTTATGTCAGAAATTCTGACTAATTTCTTAGACGAATTGGATCTTATAAGTAGACATCATCTGCATTTTCAGCAAGATGGCGCACCTGCCCACAACTCCAGAGGTACTTATCATTTTCTAAGTACTACTTTTAATGATCAGTGGATAGGAACAAATGGCCCAATACAGTGGCCTCCCAGATCACCAGATCTAAACCCACTTGATTACTTCTTGTGGGGTTACTTAAAGAACCAAATTTACAAGCGAAGGTACGATAACCTTGACGCGTTAAAGACTGCAGTTAGGGAAAAGATAACCCAGATAGATGGTAGGACCATACTTAAGACAGTTCGAGCAGTTGAAAAACGTGCCCAAAAATGTATTGAAGAACAAGGTGGTGTTTTCGAGCATCTTCTTTAAAAAAAATTGTTATTGTATTTTGTAAGATTATAAGTTGATGTTGAAAATAAAGTTTGTCGATACAATTTAATTGTTTCAGATTGGAGGCCATAACTTCAACAATTTGTAACCTAGAAGAAAAGTTATTGTAAGCTTTTTTGTTTAAAATTTGATGCTTTAACGGAAAAAAATATAATATACAGGGGTTTCCATTTAAAAAAATGTTATTTTACTGAAAAAAATCAAAATAACGACTCTCAATTGTTTTTTTTTATTTCTCATTTTTACCAGCGTTAAAAATGCTACTAGTTTGCTAATTCAAACAACTTTGTATTTTCACTAATAACAAAGTTACTAATGGTGGACACTTAATTTGGATAACCCTGTATACACTGTCAAGTACCGGCATCTGTCAAACAAAAATCTGCCTAGTACTTGTCAATGTTTTGAAATGTTTATGGAATAATAGGCGACAGCACAAAATAAGGAAAGTATTCCTATCTTTCATTTTATCTCCAAGAATTCATACACAAAAATCCATAATCAAATTCAAGCGGATAACCAAATGGAAATGGTATTTACCATTTTGGGTTGGTATTTACCAATCCGTTCAAGCGAGTGTAGTTATCAGTTTGGTTATAAGATCCGTGACGTCACGAATCAGCTGTTATATGTCATAGTTATCACCGCAAAATTGTGGTATTTACCCAACTCAAGAGTAGTTTTTATTTCTGGTTATTATTTGAAATGTGACAAGTTAGAATTTTGCCGGGTATTGGATATTGTTATTGTACTTCAGCTTCATTTTTGAGAAAAATGATACAGGCTGACTTCAGTTTTACCATAAAGTGGAGCACCTTATTAGTTATACTCATTACGGTTGTTGGGGACACTTTAAATGTAGTTCCTATGCTTAACAAAGTATCCTGTGTAGCCATATACCACAAGAATATTAAAATATAGCCATATAAACTCACTAGATGATATCCATCTGCATACGGTTTTGCTAATTTCTTTTTTCATCATTTCTGCTGAATCAATAAATGTTTTCTTTGACATGCGGAAAAATTTAGAGAATTGAAAGTTACATAGCTACAAAGCCATGGTTCCATCATTAAAAAAAAAACTGAAAAAAACATTTCTCCCATGAATATTATGAAAGGTTTCTTATTTAAACTTTCCATATACAGTTGTAGACGAAAAAGCACCGATTATTAAGTGATAATAAAAATAATCAGAGATTATATACGCGCTTTTCTAAAATAAACAACTTGCAACAAAACCGCGGTTAAAACCAACGCGTTCAAGCGATTCGTGTAACTGACGTCATCAACCCGTGTGTCATCTTGAACCATATTATAACCGCGGCACATAACACAGAAATTTTGGTTATTCGCTTGGATTTGATTTATGCCAGACTTATCTAACCTGACTTTTCAAACTTCTATTTGAATTTCCAAAAAGGCTTGTGTTGTAAAAACTTTTGTACTACAAATTTGTGCTGACAACGTTAAGCTAGAAATAGTTGGAATGAACTCCAAAGAGAAGTTAAATTTACCTTGGTATCAAAAAATGTTGTTTGAAGATGACAAATCAAACCCTTATAAATCGGCAGAAACTAGAAGAAGCTGTCTTGCTCAAATTGTAAACAGTTCTTTCGATAGGCGAGTATATAATTTAATTTTATTAGAAATTCCTATTTATCTATCGTAATTTAAAAAAAGACATTTCTTCATCTTTCAGTTTAAATAACCAAAGCATTTGCCAGCTAACGGAGTCCAAACTGGATGACTACCTGATACATGGTGTTGAGCTTCAAGGTGAAAATATTTATAACAAAAAACTGAAAGATACACTCAAAAAGCAACCCAGCACTCAAAGAGCTTTCAAGTCTAATTTAGAGAAAATTGATGTCAAGAGTTTGTTAAAACCTCTGACATGTTCTAATAAGAATCACTGCACAGAATCTGAAGCATTCAATGAAGGTGAATTTTCTGATCTTCATGAGTCATTAAAATATCAGAAACTGTTTCATAAACCTGAAACAGAGCCTGCAGGCCATACTGCAGCTATTAGCAATCCTGGAAAGTGTTCTGGTGCCCGAGATTACAAGCCATTGAGAAGAAATGATGATGTTAAATATCCAACATCTAATAGCTTTAAGACAGCCAGAGATGAGCTGACGATACAAAATATGAAGAAATATGGCAATCCAGGAAACAGCCAAGCCACCTGCTCAAGTGGAATGGGGCAGAAACGAAAATTAGGGGCTAGAAGAAACATAAACAGCAAGTTTGTTTCACCACTGCTATCTAACAGTGAGAGGTATATTGAGCTTTATATAAATGTCAGTCTGTCATATAAACAACACATCTATTTTGGGGGGATTATTTCCAGAAATATGGAAGAAAGCTATTGTTAAACCTTTACCAAAAATAGCAGAACCTAAAGAATTTACAGACTTGAGGCCTATCAGCATATTACCCGCTACATCCAAAATTTTAGAAAGGCATATTTATAATCAAATTAGATTTTTTTGTGACACAATTGATATCATACCCGATAGTCAATCCGGTTTTAGGGGCCATTCAAGTATTACATAAGCAGATTTATTACGATTATTTACCCCCCCATCCTCCTTGTCAGCAAAAGTAAGCAAAGCTCTTATCCCCTCCCCCCATGCGTACGTAAACATTTGTCAATTAATGTATTGTTTTTTTTTAATATTATGATTATAGCGTTATAATTATAATTTGAAAAATAAGAAAATAGATTTAGAATAGAGATTATATTTTACTGATAGGGTATTCAACATAGAGTAAAGGACAAAAATATTATATCTTACTAACATATTTATAAAACTTATTTTAAATTTTTGGTACATATATTAAATTCAAATTAACAGTCTTCAGTCCATGAAACCCGAATCCATGAGCCTAAGTTTTCGATGACATTGGATTGCTTCGATTGCTGCTCAGTGTTGTGAGTTTGCTCGCTTTCATCGGATTTTGGAATGTCTTTGTCATTCTCATCGAGCCATTCAACATCATGGTGCTCTAAATTTTGAATAATGCACATCAGTTCATTAGCACGACGAGCAGCGACTCTTACAGGTCTAAACTTTCCTATCAGTGTGCGTGTTTACTTTTTTATGGATATTTTCGATGTGACGATTTAGTGACTTGACGGAAGCATGATAAAGACCACACGTTTTGCATGTTCGACTTGATAGCCTCAATTTTACCGTCGGACAAAAATAATCGTAGGGCATTTGCAGGAAATCTTTGAGTAAAGCACTTAAGCGTAGAGCTAAATTGCCTGGAAGATTAAGAAATTGCCCTCCTTCATCCAAAACCAAGTCATCAACTGTTTGTTTTACTTTTACAGGTGGTGGAAGAAACCTATTGTCTAGTAATCTAAATAGGCCACTTCTTGGACGACAGCATTCTGTATTTCTACATTTTACAATTTGAAGCAAGTATCGGCTCTCACGGACATGTTCTGAATACCATTTAGTGTCTGCATTAACATTATAGCCATCTCAATTTCCATTGAACTCCATACTTAATACATTTCCTGCAAATTCGAAATTAGATCTTTCTAAATGTTCATCAATTGTAACGCCACGTTCATCCAAATGAGACTCAAAATGGTCATGAGGCAATATTAAACCAGCCAGTTGCTGACTAAGAGGAGCCATCCCACGCTCTACTCTGTTATACGCACTTATATTACTATTATAGCAAACCCTATGACTTTTTGATAACGTGGATTTTCATCTGGCCCTCTATCATCCGTCATGATTACCACTGGTTTTACTAGTCCATGGTCAGTTTTAGCTAACGGTCGAAACTCTTCAAGTTCGAGAAGCGTTTCGAAATCCTGAGCAGTAGATGAACTATGCTTTCCACTTCGAATAGCGATGTATGTTGGTCCAGAATATCCAACAGCTTGCGGTTGTCCTAGCATATTGGAAGAGATTTTGATACCAGCATAAACAGATGGTATTAATTTATGACGCTCAGCGATTACCCAATCGTGATCAGGCAATTTGATTCTATATTCCATGTGCATTAGAAGAGGAGCTTGCTTATTTGCCGCAGTTACGCCAATAGGGACTCGAGCTTTATCATCTTGAGATATGAAAAATGCTTGATCTGGTCCAAGTATGGATGCTTTGTTCTCTAAATAATGGATTGATGTTTCAATGAACTTGCTATCTAAGTGGCTCTTGTGGTGATCAGTTTGAGCCCGAATGAGCTTAACAGGGACTGTCGATACATGTCTTCGTCCCTCTGCAGAATTAGATATTCTGGGAATCAAACGAAGATATGTCCCACTGCGACTAATATCAAATCCTATTTTAGGTAATTCTTGTCTGGGTTTATCAAGAGTTTACGCTGGGGATTGATTCCGTTCGTCTTCTATCATCTGCTGCACTCCCAAATAAAGCTATATCCGCGATTGATTTCAATAGTGAATGTTGATTGCTTTCAAGATTAGGACGTCCCACTGAGTCCCTCAGAGATAGTCTTTTTTTTATTTCTGTATTTTCATGACAAATATCTTCTTTCTTCTCATACCATCCCTGTGTTTCTTCTGGGCAAGTGCGTTTTGAACCTTCTTGTTTAAAGACTGTTTTGCTGTTTTTATTTCCTCGCGCAACTTAATGATCTGTTTATCAACTTCAGCACGGCTTGGCATAGTATCTTTGGCAGAATACAAAACTTTCAGACTTTTTTCGAGTAGAGCAATCTTATTTTTCATAGCTTCCTGAGAAGGTTTTGCTTTCTGTTTATCTGTATTTTCATTAATTTCACATTGCTGTTGTGATTCATTACCGGGTTTTATTTTATCTTCTTCCTCTTTTTTAATATTTGAAGCTAACTGTATAATTTGTGTTTTTTCTGCAGGTTTACAGGTTGCCTAAAAATAAAAAGTTTCTATGGCTTTAAATCTAACATGTTCATTCATTCCGGTCACAAAATACAGGGTGTTAGTTGTCTGTATATATGTATAAAACTGACATCGTGTACTTTGTGACCAATTGACGGAATCAATCATAAGAAATAAATCTATAATATAATGAATATTACCTCTATACTTTGAGATAGGCCATAATATTTTCTAATCAGTAAAGAGAAAGTTTTTGGCGATTTCTAATATTTCTAGTACTCATAGGTACCTAAAATGATTTCGTCACTCACCTTAGAAAAAAAATTTAGTAGATTGGATTTATTCTTAGTCGCCGCTTGCAATTCTTCTTCGATTCTCTTAGATACAATAATATCTAGTTCCTTGTCGGATTTTGCTTGTAATGTGTAATTTCGTCACACTTCGTTAACTAACTTGTACATTTTGTACTTTCGTACTTGTATGAGATTTTTTAAAACTTTCAAACAATTTTTGGTATAACTTGGATTTGTCTATGTGAAACGACATCTTATTTGAACATTAAACTTTGGCTAATGGAATCATTGGTAACACAAATGTTAACTTGCTTTACTATGTTTACAATACGTCTACTCACTAGTATCCAAACGAAACAATACACTGATAGAGGAAATCTAGACAAGTGAACACCGCGCGGTAATTCCCCTATTCGGTTCTAAAGCGAGTAGGGGAATTACCGCGCGCTGTTCACTAAACGTATGCATTATTTGCGGGAATCCCCGAAAATGCGTTTCGTTTTCAAGCAAAGACAATGTGAGGGTTGCCATTCGTGTAAAAAAGTAAATAACTACCGATGACGTAATCATCATCTAGAGTCCCCTACCCCCCATGTCTTCCAAAATAAGCAAAGCAAAGACCTCCCCCCCACAGTGCTCACGTAATACTTGAACGGCCCCTTAGGAGAAACTTTAGCACAAGTACATCATTAGTTAATATCTTGGATGATATCAGACATCATCAAGAACAAAAAAATAGTAAGTGCATTTTAGTAAAGCGTTCGACACTGAATCAGGATATGTTACTAGCTAAGTTACATTACTAGGAGTTTTCGCAGAACTCCGTAAATCTAATAAAAACATACTTAAGCAACCATTCAAACTGTGTTATGTTAGCAAATGATTCCGCTGTTTACAAAACCGATTTTAAACCTATAAAAAGAGGAGTTCCTCAAGGTTCAATTTTATCTCCTTTGCTATTTTCAATATACATATCTGACATGGTCAAATCGGTAAAATTCGCAAAGATAAAACAATATGCAGATGACTCACAAATATATCTCCCTTTCAATAAAACCACAATCCATATTGCACAACAACAACTAAATTCAGATCTCCAAAGAATTGACAGATTTGCAAAACATCACAATCTTAAACTAAACCCCTCAAAATCGCAAGTAATGGTTATGAATAAAAACAGTAATGAAAGAGAACATTTTGAACAAAATTTATTAATTTCTATTAACAATCGTAGAATCCCCATGGTTCAGGAAACAAAAAATCTAGGCATCATATTTGATAGCTCGCTTGGCTTCGGCAGTCATATAAAAAACAGAACAAATTTAGCTTACATGCGACTAAAAAATATAAACAAATTAAAAGAACATTTATCAGCCAAACAAAAATATTTGTGTAATACCTTAATTTTATCACTTTTTGACTATGGAGATGTCGTCTATGGTGATTCGCTATCATCGCGAACCAAAAAATTCATACAAAAAGTTCACAATAGTTGCATGAGATTTGCGTTTGGAATTCCATATCGAAACCATATCACTCCTTATCTGAATAACTACAACATATTAAACATGACGAATCGCAGAAAATATCACATGTATTCTGTTATCTATAGGGTTATAAAAACAGGTCAACCGCCCTATTTAAGAGAAAGATTTGTGCCTTTGCCTGGTCCCCAGAGGAGCAGAAATAATCTCAATTTTATCGTACCTAGGCGTAGAACGCGTTCCTTCCGACAATCGTTTGCTTATATGGCGGTTCACTTATGGAATAATTTACGAACTTCAGTTAAAAGCTCATCGTCATAAACATTCTCAAAACTGACAAAAACGTCACAGAATCACCAGCTACTTTAGTAGCGTTTGTGTGAGCAAAAATATCGTTTTTACATTCCTACTCGCTGACAAGTTGTATAGATTTGTTCTTCACGTCCGTTGCCAGCTCCCGGGGGTTCTTTCTTCGTTTTTGCCTTTTTGTGTTTCACCGCCTCTTCATTTGCCTCTTTATTGTTTTTTTTTTATTTTGTTTAAGGACTTTTAGGGTGTTCAGGGCTTTCTCGCATGGACTCTTTGTATTAAAGGGTCCAATGTATCGGTTTTATAATCGAGAGACTGCCCTTTTTCGTCATTGCTCTATATGTATAATTTCCTTTGTTTATGATGTTTATTTATGACGAAATAAATATTTTGAATTTGAAAATAATTTGAACTGAGATGATACAGAAACTGTTTTTATGTAGGATTATTATAAAAACAGGATTTGCCACTTTGAATTTAATACTTCCGTAAAGAGTACACACTGAGACTTTTGGCGTCCCCTCCTTTTCCCCTATAGCCCCACGGTACGACGGTACCCCTTGAGTGATTAGGCCTTAAGCCTTCGTGGTAGCTGGAGTATAAAAAAATGTGCAGGGTTACTGCCATATTTATCCTATAGCTCACGCACAACTTATTTTATTTCAACATCGACCCAGCCATTCTTAAAAAAACTATAATATACTTATAGCCAAGATGAAATTAAAAGCAATGAATGGTCCTCAACAACAGACGAAAGACTGAAAAACATCGAACCCAAAATGGTGGAATTAATAAAATCCGAAATAATGGACGTTGGTCCGAGCATTCATTGGAACGACGTTGTAGGACTAGAATTTGCAAAGACTGCAATCCAGGAAGCAGTTGTATGGCCTATGTTGCGCCCAGACATTTTCACTGGGCTTAGGAGACCTCCAAAAGGGATATTGCTGTTTGGCCCCCCTGGTACTGGAAAAACGTTGATTGGTGAGTAATGTTTTAGGGACATGCACCAAGGGTAACATCGGCGAAGATGGCTGCTGGAGAAAGTACCTACAATATTTTTCCATAAACTATGAAGAGCTCCCAGAATACTGTCTTTTTAACGCGTATCAATTACCTACTGTGGAATAACAGCTGATTATCTAGTAATAATTTCCATATCAGCAATTGTCAGACAATCCCGTCAAAGCCAGGTAGGCAGAGCCGTATTTTGTTGTGGTTTTTTATACGCTACGGATTCATTTTGCATACAAAAAACGCTACAAGCAGATTTACAGCCGAATCATTATTTTACAGAATAATACAAAGATGTCACTTGCTAATCACCTATTCACGTCAGAAAACGTTAAAACGTAATGGATACTCGAGAATTAGGGTGTACGTAAACTTTAACAATAACCTAAAAACCCATAAACTTCTCATTACTTAAATGTCAAGGTTAACGTTTACGTAAACCCAATTTCACGAGTATTCATCGCGTTTTGACGCCTACTGAGGTGAACAGCTGATCAGCAAGTGACATCTTTGTATTAGTCTGTAACGTTGGCAATAATGAATCGAGTGTAAATTTAGTAACCACTGGAACCGGTCCCACACGATGTGGCGAATGCCTTACAACGTTGGACACATGGCCATACGCCATCGTGTGGTTGTATACAACGTTGGAAGCATTGCGTGGGACCCGCATTGCTTGTCGCGTACAAAAAACCAAAACAAAATATTGGTGTATTTTTTAATTCACCGGTTGAGCAACCGGTGCCACCGGTGGACCAGACATCTGTCCTTTCAATTCAACCGGTTGCTGCCATCACCATACAAAGCTGTCAACAGTGTCAACCATAAGCATCAGTGGTGGAATCAACCGGTGAATTAAAGAATCCACCTTATTGTTCTGCCTGGCAGTGACGGAACCACCGGAATTGTGTGTCATTTGTGAATATGGGAAATTTTGAAATACTACTTGATAATAAGCTGTTATTCTACCATAATGGATACTCGTGAAAAATACAGTATGCGCTATTTATGTCTGCTAAAAGTCTCTGTAACATCCACCTTAGAACCATACCCATAATACGAGGTCTGTAAATTGAGTGATGAGGCTGATTTTATTTTTTTTAATTTCTTCATTCAAGTATAATTACAATTTGATATTGTCACCTTCACAAAATAACTCCCTTCTGAAGCCACGCATCGCTGTCTTCCACTCCTCATAGCAGTGCTGAAACTCCGATACTGGAATATGCTTCAGATGGTCAGTTACAACTGTTTGAATGTTTTCGACTGTCCCAAAATGAATTCCCTTGAGTAGATTTTTCAACTTCAGAAAGAGAAAAAAGTCGCAAGGACTTAACTCAGATGAATAAGGAGGCTGAGGGGCCACAAGGATGTTTTTACTGGGCCAAAAACTCGTGTATTGACATTGCTGAGCGAGTAGAAGCGTTATCGTCAAGCAACACCCAGTTGTTCGTGATTTGATGAACGATGGTGTGAGTGAAATTTAACTCTTCCTCGATCATTCTGACTGCCAACCATCGATCCGAATGCACAAGATCCCAGATTCTGTCGAAATATTCATCGGTTCTTGAAGATGAAGGCTTGATCTTCATTTGACTCTCTCCCTTCTGAAAATGCCTTAAACCGCCAAAAAACCTGGGCTGTTGACAAAACACTATCTCCGAAGGCCTACTGAAGTTTAGCAAAAGTTTCTGTTGTACGCAAGACTGAAACAGAACATGATAGCACACCATAGCTCGAAATTGATGTCAGTCATTTTTAGAACACAATAGGAAAACTGTTTTGACTTGACTCGAATTCAATGAAATGAAGGCGGATCACATATTCTCCCGTCTCCCCTCCAAGCCCGCCGCCTCCAGTGTTGCCAGATCTAACGCTACGTTGCCAGTCTCACCACTTAATTTACAGACCTTGTAGAACTAAATTAACAGTACCCTGGGATAGTAAAGATAGTAAACTTTTAATAAAAATCATCTTATCCAGGCTCTTTTAACATTAATTTGTAAAATATATAGCAAAAAGTAACAAATGTTTAATTTTTTTTCAATTGCACCCCAGGGTATGCTCGTAGGGTGAAAAAAAATATTTTAACTGATGCTAATATTTCAGGGAAATGTGTCGCATCACAGAGCAAGTCTACATTTTTCAGTATAAGTGCTTCTTCCTTAACGTCCAAATGGGTTGGTGATGGAGAAAAAATGGTTAGAGCTTTGTTCACTGTCGCCCGTGTGTATCAACCAGCTGTAAGTATAGAGCAAACATAACCTTGTATATCCACAGCATAATTCAATAAAAAACTGACCCAAAATATATATATATATATATATATATATATATATATATATATGATGGCGCGTCGTAAGTTATAGACGCGGATTACTAGAATTTCAAGTCCGATAACCACTGACGCCAAGTATTTTCATCAATTTGTAGACTCTAAATTACAACAATATTTGACGAATTTCTCACTGCCCTGTCCACATTGTTTTATAGGTGATTTTCATTGATGAAATAGATTCTCTCTTATCCCAAAGAAGTGATACTGAACATGAGAGCTCCAGAAGAATAAAGACTGAGTTTTTAGTGCAACTTGATGGTGCTATGACCGATAACGACGAGAGAATACTTGTTATTGGTGCCACAAATAGACCTCAAGAATTAGACGAGGCTGCAAGACGGCGATTCGTGAAGAGGTTGTATATACCACTACCAGAGTTTGAGGTATGTTCTTAATCTCGCAAAAGTGGTAACTATTGCCCTTCAAAAACGATATTTTCACATTTTAGGCTAGGTTACAACTAGTAAAGAAACTTATAGCAAATGAAAGGAATCAGCTCAATGAAGACGACTTTGTTAAGGTAGCAACTATGTCTGACGGTTACTCTGGGGCTGATATAAGAACCTTATGTTCAGAGGCTTCTCTAGGACCTATAAGAACAATAGATATAAGTCGGATCGAGCATATACAAGTTACAGAAGTAAGTGTCAGATAAGCGAAGACAACCATACCATTTTGTCAATTGAACCTCATCACAATCAATCTCATTCCTAGGCAACTATATACTGTAAATGGTAAACCAAATAACAGTGATCATTATTTTATTACAGGTGCGTCCTCTCATTATGGAAGATTTTGAAAAAGCGTTTTCAAGGGTGAAGGCCAGTGTGTCTTCAAAGGATTTGGAACATTATTTAGCATATAATCAGACTTATGGCTCAGGCACTGGATATAGGAGCATTTGAATTGTTTTATTTGTTAGAAATGTTATGTATTTGTCGTTATATTAAAATCATTTGAAAAATTGATTTTTTTCACTATGTGCCATACCCCGGTCATTGTTTTTGGAACATAGAAACCTGTCAACAGGGTCTCCACGCGTCAGACCCCCTGAGAAAGTTGAGAAAAACAGTATTTTGGAACGAAAATGAGCAGTTTGGAATTAAAGGTAAATTGTTTAAACAGTACTGGAAATAAATTCCTTCCTAGTGAAACATCAAAAAATAATGAGAAAAAGAACATCTGAGGAAAAAACGGGTCCTCCGAAAAAGTGAGTGAAATGAATCTATGAACAACCTGCTAGCCAACAACGGAAGGACTTCTTGGTGAGCATACTATTACTAATAAAATCTTGACGAACCGTCAGTTTGGTTTTCGACAGAAGTAGCAACCACCCAATGCGTTCAGCATATACTTGACAGTGTCGATAATGGTATGCTGGTAACAGCAATATTTTGAACATTCGATACTGTTTCCCACAAACTTGTTTCTGATAAGTTCAATAAGATCGGAATTCGAGGTTGTGTTAACTCGTGCTTGATCTCCTTTCTGAGAAAGAGATTTTTTCTAAAAGTTGATGGAAAAACTACTGAATTTTTAATTTTGTTTCCTTTATATAGCAGTGAAGAAGGTACACCATCTTTATACGCTAACGACACCTGTATAATTGTATCTGCTGACTCAGCGGAAAGCCTTGAGCAAAAAAACTAAAATTGTGATAAAGGAATTTGATATTTGGTGCTATAAAAACCGCCTAATAGTCAACTGTAATAAGGCTGTAACCATGGAGTTTGACACCAAGCATAAACCTCCGACTAATACTAATCACAACTTTAAAAGATCTCTAATAAAACCATCCATGTTATTTAAATTCTTAGGTGTCATTTTAGACTCACATCTGTCATGGGAGGAAAATGCCAATTCGGTATGCGCAAAGCTTGGTAAATGTTATTTTGTGATAAATTCTTTAAAAAATACCTTGGATACAGAAGGCTTGATGAATATTATTTTGCGTTAGGATACTCGTATTGTGTTGTGGGGGCAGGCTAGAGACATCCAGCGTGTTTTTATCCTCCAAAAAAGGGTCATCCGTTTAATTTTTAAAATTCACTATCAGTCATCTTGCAGGGAAATATTCAAACGTTATCGAATGTTTAATGTCGAGTTTATTTAGATGTTCAAGCTGTTAGTGTAATTTTTCCAAAGTAAAAACAAATTTAAAAGACATTCCGATATGCATAATTACAATACTCGTAACAAAAACAATTTCATTAACAAATTTCATCACATGTACTATAAAAAGTATCCAGTCTATGCTAGATGAATGCTCTTTAAACTGCTTCCAGCCGACATGCGTGAGGTTACGTCGTTGAATAGCTTCAAAAGAAAGGTAAAAAAACATTTTTTTGGAAGGCTGCTTTTACGAGTGTCTCGCTTATTTCAGAAACTAATATACACTTGGTATCTTTTTATCCTAGTGTCGTCCCTGAAGTGTTTTGTTGATGTTTGTTCATTATACCAGTTTTTATTTATTGTTCTTATGACGCATTCCATGTCATAGCTTGATGATTCGTTGAATAAACAAATATTATTATTATTGTAACTTCTATGGACAACGCATTTGAATGTCTCGACGACAGAAACAATGAATCTAACACTGGGTTTACATGCAGCCACTCGCGCTGCCCACTATCCTACCGTAAATAATTCCTCGGCAGCGTTTGGAGCAAGTGGCTGTTTACATGCAGCTACCCTACTAACCTACCATAAACTGCTCCCAAAAAACTTTCCATTGCATCAAATGCAAACGAAATGGGCTGACATACCTCATCTGCACCTGCACCAGACCTAATCGAAGCGTTTTTCTTTTTTAATAGGCTTTAGAAAAAAATATTCGACAGAAACGGCTTTCCAGTTGGTAACTGCGAATTGGAGAAGAGCCATAGACGCAGAAGAAGTTGTCATAGATAGATTGGTTTAGAAATTATTTGTCTAAAAGGATGCAAGTTACAAAAGTTAATGACACTATTTTATCAAAAATTGAAAATATGTTGGGTGTTCCACATGGCAGTATCCTGGGACCACTTCTTTTTATTTTATACATAAATGATTTACCTGCCATAGTCAAAAAATGCAAAATTCAGATTTTCGCCGATGACACTATGATTTATATAAGTAATAAAAATATTCAGACTGGTATCTCTTATATAAATGAATACTTGAAACTTGTCTCAAAATGGTTAGCATCTAACAGACTAAAATTAAATACAAGTAAAACAAAAGCCTTGTTAATCGGAAAAAAACAATGTACAAATGTTCAACTGAATATTGATGGTGAAGATATTGAATTCGTAGAAAAATTTAAATACCTGGGGGTTTTTGTTGACTCTCGATTAATTTTTGATATTCATTATAAAAAAGTTATAAATAAGATTAGTAGTAAAGTGGGATATTTATCGAGAGTTTCTGGATGTCTAAGTGCATATAGCAGAAAAATTATCTATAATACCATCATTCTTCCAAATTTCTGGTACTGAAAGACTGCAAATTTTACAAAATAAGTGCATGAGAATAATACTAAATAGAGATAAATATATTCCAATTAGGCAAATGCTTAGCAAATTAAAATGGCTCAATGTAAAAATGTTTATCAAATATCTTGTAATGATATTCATTTATAAAGTAAAAAATAATATATTTCCATCAAGTCTAACAAATTTAACATCATCAAATGACGACCATCATTTACATAATACCAGAAATAAAGATGACTTCCATTTAATGACCAAAAAGTATAACATATGATACAAATCTGTATTCCATCAGGTTGATTGGATATAATAAATTATAGACCAGAAAACTTTGACAAAGTTTAAAGTAAAAATGAGAAACCACTTGTTAAATCTACAATTATAGGTTGCCCAGCATTTGCATCATACACCATATGGCTTGAATTTACTAGTTCTAAGTTGTTTACAATTGAAGACACAAGTGGATAAAGGTGTCATGTAACATTTTTTCAAAAACGTGTTTTTTTCGTTCAATAGGCTTAAGATTTGCTTTTCTTTCATTATCAAGTCTCGTTATTATACAATATTTGTGAATTACCTAGATATTCAAGTGATAAAGGTGTTATGTACCCATATTTTTGCCTTTGACAGTGGATAAAGGGGTCAAGGTAACATGACACCTTTATCCACTGTCAAGTGTAAATTTTCTGTCGAGAATCCACAGCATGACATTTGAATTTGAGGTTAGGTATCTCATTGTTTTGGATTTTATTATACAATGGTTATGTGTAAGAGTGCTGTTTTTGAAACTGTTGGTTTACTAACATAATATATTCAGTGATGTCTAGATTAAAATACATTTTAAAGATTCTAGAGGATCAACAAAAAGCATGTACTACAAGACCAGGTAGAAAATTAGTGGCTTTTATTATTTTGTTGTTATTTTGTACTGATTTTGCATTGATTTTAGAAACTAATCACGATGGATCAATTAGTCCCATGAGAAGTTTTGGAAATAAAGAGAGCGAAAATATATACAATAACCCTAAGACGTTTCCTTGTCTTAATATTTGTTCTAAACCTAGCACAAATAAAAATGATGCAGAATTCATTAAAAATCTAACAGCTAATCCTCGGATATCAATTATTCCCAGTACCAGTAGAGGTATGGACGCAATCAATATTTATTTTAAAAGAGGTAATTAATTAAAAAAAGAGAAAGAGTGAAAAAGAAAATATTTCAGTTGAAGGAGAAAACATCTAAGAAACGTCTTAGGAATCCAGATCAGTGGAGTAGAAGAAAATCTGCAATTTTAAGAGCAAGAGGAGAAGAGTATCTTTCTCAAACAGGGAAAGTTATGTCAAAAAAAGAAATAAATTCTGGATTGCTGTGCAAAGAAAAATGCAGATTACATTGCTCTGACAAGTTTCTTTTAGAAGATAGAAAAGCAATTTTAGAAAAGTATTATGCATTAGATATAAACGCAAAAAATGCTTTGTTATTTAAAAGCATAAACATCAAACCGGTTGCAAGACATAGGACTAATGTAAAAAAAGAAAAAAACATATTCTTTTAGTTATTCCATTACTTTTAATAGAAAAACAGAAATCATATGCCGAGGTGCACTATGTTCTCTTTATCAGATTAGCCGAAAGAAAATTGAACTTATGCAAAGAACACTGAAAAAAGGAATGAATGCTCCAACACCTGACAAAAGAGGTCAACACAAAAACAGACCTCATAAAATTAAAGAGGATGTCATTGCGTGCATTATGGATCATATCCAAAAATTCCCCTCAGAAGAGTCACATTACTCACATAATAAAAACTGTCATAAAAAATATTTGTCACCTATCCTTAATATGGCTACAATGTATAAGTTGTACATCGAAGACTGTGAAAACAGAAAACTGGATGATTCTTTCAAAGTGACACTTTCTTCCTATGCTAAAATATTTTGTACAAAGTTCAATTTATCTTTTGGCCACCCTAGAAGTGACACGTGTAGTGTTTGTGATTCAGGGCAAAACACAGATCTGCATACAGAAAACTTTAAAGCTGCATTTGAATCACAGAGACGTGATAGAGAAAGACCATCAATGGAAGAAGATACCTGCTATATAACTATGGATATGCAACAAACGATGCCACTACCAAAATTATCTACCAGTAAAGCTTTTTACCTTCGCCAAATGTGGTACTATAATTTTGGTATCCATTGTGTAACTGCTAGTGGATCAAAACCTTTTTTTTTCAATTGGACCGAAGATGTAGCAAAACGAGGAAGTATTGAGATAGCTAGTTGTTTACTCCGATTTTGTCAGCAGCTCAAAGAATCTCACAAAAATATTAATCATCTAATCATTTGGTCTGACTCTTGTGCAGGCCAAAATAAAAAATTCAGTATTACCAGTCTCTATCAATTTTTAATTTTAAATGGAACATTGAAAGTCATCGATCATAAGTTTCCAGAAGTTGGACACAGCTACCTAGACTCAGACAGAAATTTTGGCAGAATAGAAAAAAAACTTAGAAAGGTTGAGAATATCTATGTACCCGAACAATACCGTGAGCTAATTAAATCTGCAAGTACGAAAAACTGTGCTACCCTCGATATGGAAAATTACTTCTATGACTTTAACGAACTCTCAGGGAAGTGGCATATTTGGAATAAAAAGACTAATGATATGGGACAAAAAATCTGTTTCAGAGATAGTGTCAAATGGATTAGAGTTGATGAGTTCGGCAGCTACTTTTATAAAGAAAATCTGGATGAATATTCACCTTTTCATAAAGTAAATCTATTTAAAAAAGGAAGTAGGGTGATACGTAAGGAGGACAATATTACACTACGCAGAATCACAGAGAAAAAAGGTGGACTTACTGCAGAAAAGTTGAGCAACTTGCGTGAACAGTTAAAGTTTGTCAAGAACGAGTATAAATGGTTCTATGAAAAATTTTTTTAAGAAAACGAAGAGAATCCCAAGAAAAAAAGAAAAGCAATTGGTTCATTTTGATGAGTTTTGAGATTTTTGTTACTTTTGCAATAAAATACCAATGTTTAAGTACATAACACCTCTTTTCATTTCCCGTCAACACAAGGTTTTGTCAACTTCTTATGGATAAAGGTGTCATGTACTTTCAAAGTACATTTTCTCTCAAAATATCAACATGTCTTCAAGTTAAACAAGAGACAAAGAAAATATTTAATGCTGTTTAAAAAAACATTTATAGAAAATGCCTGAAATTGAATGCATAAAAAAATTCCAATCGGAAATCTTCAAAGTGATTTTTCTCAGAATTATTATTTTGTGACATGACACCTTTATCCACTTGTGTCTTCAATTATTCTGTTTATTTAGCCAAATGTGCTAAATAAATCTTTCTACTACTACTCCCTATTGAGCGCTAGATGGGTACTGACCAAAATCGCTCATCTATGATCATGGCGGTGGAAACCTTGCCTTTTAATGTACGAGATGCAGTGTGGCCAACCGAACCAAGGATGCCGAATTTGTGGCGATCATGACGTTTCATTTCAACCTGAAATGGCGGACGATTATGACCGATCCGGAATCAAACCTAAACAGATTCGACACAATTCAATAATGTTCACTCAAAATAAAACCATTATTTAGGCGTAGAAAATAAACCAACGCGTATTTCCAACATGCATCTTAATTCAAGGAATTGGTGTAACATAATCGCAGCGCGGCAGATTGCTGGCCGGCTTCTATTTCTTTCTAACATGTGTCTATACAATACACACTTCCTCTCTTGTATACACTGAACTCAAGCCATCAGACAAATTGGGTTCTCAGTGTATAACATGTCACGCTTTTACCGCAATCGCAAATGAAGGGTACGACTTATAATGATCTGATAAATACTATATTTGGTTTCATAATCGCATTAGAACATAATTGTAGGTACAGGTAATAGAAATATGTTCACCAATCCTCTTCGCCCCAACCCTCTTCACTAGCATCATTGCTTAATTGTACCGCTAGTTTACTTTCAAGGTTACTATGACCAATTTCATTCACGACGTATTTATTATTCGTATTTATAACAGGCTCCATGTCCTGGAAGAAATCCATATCATCACTTTTATTCGACTTTACTTGATTCTTTATATCGAGCTCTGAAATATCAGGAATAGAGCCGCGTCTTACAAACTCTTTAACATCCAATGCTGCCTTACTGGGTAAGGAATGCTTCTCTGAAGCTAACGATTGGAGGTCATTGGTTATGCTATGTTCCGTGTTAACTAGTTGATTCTGTCCTTCATTAGTGTCCCATTCGTCCCAGTTTTCTAAATCGCCATCTGTCGACTGTTCAATTTCATCCATAGATGTTTCTTCCCCACCATCTGGCCTAGGTCTTTCTGGTAAAGGATTTATATCTGTTACAGAGCTTAGTCTTATCGGATCACTGCTTAAACTTATTTGGTCTAACAAAACCCCATGATTAGCAACCGAATTTTTCAAATGGGTTTTCATACTTTTGGATAGCCTCCGTTCCATTTGTGTGGGACGTCCATCGTGGAAAAGCTTCGCTCGCTTACCGCCAATAACAGTGGATGCTCCCAAAATCGGAACCAAGTCGGCTAAAGTTCTTAGCGTGACGGACACCAAAGTGTCATTAGTATCTTTTATTCCAACCAATAGCTGAAAATTAGAACATAAGCGTTCAGTTGCAATGGAAGAAATTTCATTAAATATGGGTATGTAAAAAAATATTTAGCGCATTTATTCTACAGTAGTCATAATCTGAAAAGTTTTGCAAGAATTTTGGAAATTGATGTTGACGTGTTCATTTCGAATTTTCACTTAATCACTTCGCTACCGCATATCTGCGCTGCTTACTGTATTGTTTTCGATAATATCACCTATAAAACTTACTGTACCATGACAAGTTTATAATTCAGTAAGACATTTTCTTTTGTATAATGAAGTTTCAGCTTACGAGCGTCGCAAAATCTAGACACTAAACACGAATAGTGATCAAAGAATGTATCTCTACATTTGTTCAATTCAAAGTTTCAGAAATACACGTCATTCATTCATGTTTAAAAGGCATAGTGTACGCTATTCAGATCTGAAGCCATATCAAATTAGTATAAATCCTTGTTTTAGCAGCAAATTGTGAAGGCGTTCATAAGCAAATAACTAACCTCAGGTAGAATATATAATTGTAACTCTTCTTCTGAAAACATGTGCATAAAATTTCTAAAATGCTCCAACAGTACCATCCGGATTTGCGCATCACGAACCTTGAATATCTCTAATAATTTAGGACATAAATGCTTTTTAAATACTTCTTCCGGGAACAAAGTTTGTGAAGAACTCTCCTCAGTAACTAGAAATGTTTTTAATATTAGATTGCACATTTTGTTAAAAATATTTATTTCGGTAAAAATATGATGTATAAAATGACGTGAAAAGTGTATTAACAAATGCATGGTATCATCTATAGAACTGTTATCAATTCTTCATAACTTCAATTTAAATATTTTTTATAGAAAATGTATTTTCATTCCTAAACTTTACTCGTATATAAAAACAAATGAAACCTGCTAGACTGCATAATTCTTGCTTGATCAAACAACTACTGCTGAAATGTGAGTCAAAATGTGTAACACAACTATAAAATCAAAAACACAAGTGATATTCCTGTTTGTTACCTATATCATTACACTTACCATCATTCTGTACAGCTAACAAATATGGTAATAGTTTTTTCTGGGCAGTTGCATTCAATAACACTAATCTTGATAATAAAAGACCACTTAACAACCTGGCCACTAGCGTGCTATCAAAACAATTGAGTCTTTCTGCTAACTGCTGGAAAAACTGAGTTTTTTCTCCATCACTCTTAAGAGGTAGTTCCACCAAGAAGTTATGTATTGTTATAAAATCATGATTAAAAAAATCATGTTCCAATATAGCATTAAATGAAGGTCTTTGTGTTACATCTGTATTTTGCAGGCTCTTTTTACAGAATTCATAGAATTCTGTAGATGTTGCATCTGAAACATGAAGACCATCTGTAAATATAAATATTCCAATGCAAGAACGGGTTATGTCTATTAGAGCAATTTTTTTGGAAGGGGTAGGTACTAAAAGCTTTATTACTAGTTTGTTCAATGAGGAGGAGAGCATATCTCCCTTACCACCAGAATCAGCGGCATCTCGCGGCCACAGTGGTGACCCGGCTGTCAATGCGAACTTTTTTTTTTATACTCCAACTACCACAAAGACCTAAGGCCTAAACACCCATTGGGTACCGTAGGGCTAACTGAGATACAGTTCCAACAAACAGGTTGCTGTTTTCACTTTCACAGTGGTCGATTCTGCTAATACATGGCACTTTGTGCTATCTTGTTTTGATGTTAGTTTTCTTTCAAAATGTTGTTGCTCCGAATGAAGCAATTTCACAGTCATCAGATGTTAAGCAGGCAAGAGACGTAGCAAATATTGCAATGACAAACTGCTGCGAATATCTTTTGGTAACAATCTAATTATATCAATTTATAGCATTATAATGGATCACATGATTTAGAAATTAGCAGTAGCCAATTGTTCAAACTACCAGAATTAGCTGAAACTACTGCTGATGGGAACATACAAAGGTACTAATTGAAGCCAATAGTACAGAGGGTATTTTGCACTGGGATTTTCTGGAACATTTGGCAAGATTCATCAAGTTGAAAAAAAATTTAACACCTGAAATTTTCACTATGTTTTGCGGTATAATTATACTGGCAGAAGTATTCTCAGACTAAACAGGCCACCAAGGTGACGAAAACATTAGTCAAAATCAAGCCTACATATGTGGTTTCACTTCAAGGCCAGACATACAGAATTATCAAGTTGAGAGATGAAGAACAGCTTGGGTACCAGATTCTTATGATTCATCATATTCATGGGTATATTGCTTCTCTAACAAAACAGAGTCGAACTGATTCTTTACGGGGTAATGTACAGCTTTGTATTCTACAAAGTTGTGAGAAATAGTATCATGGGTTAGGGTAGATAGGAACATTTTTAAGTAGAGGCTTTTCCATTTGTACTGTACTTGTATTGAATAGCACAATATGCAGAATGTTCAACAGTTCAACTCATGTATAGATTGGACTAGATGGGTGCTTGGATTAAAGTCTGCATATTTATGAAAAAGGAACACAAATTCATAGATATATCTTAAAGAATTAATTCACTTACCATTACTTTTAGATTTCAATAACTCACATGCAAGCACTCCAAATGCATATACATCAATTGAACATTTCCTATTTTTCACAATGCATGCCTCTTCATTAGGATCTACTGCTTTATTGTATCTACTGCTTTTTGTTTTACCAAGATAGTCAGAATTAAGTTCCTTATACTTGCACAAATATTCCATTCCTCCCAATTTCCAACTCCCATCTCTGGTGACATACACTGAGGTAGTACAAACATTGTTATGTGAACTTTGTGCTTGCTCATGTAAAAAGTATAATGCTTTAGCAATAGAATGTAACCCTATTGAAATCTGTAAAGGATTAAGAGTTCCAACAACTTGAGACAATGGCACAGCTTCTTCTACAGCTAGATAATATTTTGTGTATTTTTTCCATGAAGTAACATACTTCAGTATACAGGGATGTCGATATATCATCAGATTCTGAAAAGAATGTCTCAACATACGATTTTAAAGTGAAGGTATGGACACATACTTTACCATACTGTTCCAGCGGGCCTTGAGAAACCCATAGCAATCCATCTATCGTGAATTCTCCGATTAATACGGTAAGGTTGGTAAGATTTTCCGAATCCAAAACATAAGCAGAATGTTGAGACCAAAAATCTCTTACTTCTATAGCTTTCTCTTCAATTTCGATTCCGTTTATCTCAGATTGTTCGTTGCCCATCTTGTGTACCTCCTATTTTCAATATGTTGATTTCTAGCTCATTGTGATGTATTGATATGACTATACTTTCTTACTTTCATCTAGTGATGTGTTTCCAATACCATAATTTATTATAACACAAAACTTATATGTTTTGCGCGTTCTGCGTTATGCCATGTGGCCATATCCATATACCATGGTATTTGTTTATGCAACTTCTGATGCAACTCTTGGCAGCTTGGCACAATATTTTTTGACAAGAATGAGGACTATGATTTTCTACTAGATAATTATTTAAATTGATCAATCACCAAAAAGATGACCGGTCACCCGACTCTTAAGCCACGCCCCGAACAGTTGTCAAATTGACAACTGTCAATTAACCTATAATTTTTGAAATTTTTCAAATAATTACCTACAATGATGTATTGATGTTAAGATGTTCATGCTTTAGATTTTTGGATGAATATGTCTTTGTATCAAGTTAGATTGCCCTGCAGCATTAGCTATTTTGGATTATAGAAAAAAATATGATATATCGTTTAAGAATAAACATCTATGATGGTGAATATTATCATGGAAATTATATTGCAGATATTCAGGGCATTACAGTTTATGATCGAATGCAATGGAGAAGAAATGAGGAAACACAATCCAGCTTAAAAAAGAGTATAGTTAAATTAGACAGTGCTTTTATTCACTACCTAATTAAAGAATTATGTTTAAATACATTTTATCGAACACATTTTATTAATAAGTGGACTAGTTCACTACACAAAAGACTACTTATCATACTAAAATCTACTACATGTGACTTGATTGATTATAATTGGAACGAAAGGGTGTATGAAATGGTACGAGAAAAGTGTGAGTTGGATCATGCACTTTCTTGGCTATCCACTCTAGGTGGAGCATTCTCAGCTTTAGGTAAACATATCTCACATTCTTATAATATGTACATTGATAATATTACTATATTTCAGGTGATTATTTTCCAAGCTGTGCAGAAATAGCTGGAAAAATTTCAATAAACCAATTAAAGCTAGCTCTCAGGCTGGGTGACCCTACAATAGCAGCAAGATGCAGACTTTTTTTAGCACTCAGCTTGATTCAAAAGAAAAGGTTTCATCTTGCTAGAAAGATAATTTTAAATGAATTTCAAAAGGCTAAAGATGCTGTTGTGGTCGACCACAGACTTTTAAATATGTGCAGAGGCATCTGGGCTAAATTACAGTATGAACATAAAGTTTATATAGAAAGGAAATGTAAAGCAAAAGCTGCTTATGAACAAGTATGATATAATTCTCTATTCTGATATTGTATTATTGATGAAAAACACTAACTTTAATTACATATGAAATTGTCTATAAAACATAAGTAGTTTTCTTCTCTAGCTATCCAAGTTTCAATGGTTTTTGAAAAAAGTAAATGTAACCAGACTTATTTTTGATAAATTAAAATAAGACCAAAATTTGAGTAACCTTTCAAACATTTAGGAAAACTTTACTATCATTTTTACATTAAATTAAATACATACAATCTGAAGATCTAAAGTAGGAGTCTTACTCCTCCATTTTCAAGAGCAATCTGAGTTTCTTTGTTGATAGCTACTCTTTTACACATTTTTTGAATCATTTTTCTGTAATTTTACATACTTGTCTATTAAAATTTCATTGCTATGCATTTTGGATATTCAAACACTGTTTAATATCATTCAATTTATTCACGTATTCCCTAGTTGTTCCAAAAAAAATTATAATTCCAAAAGTTGAACTTCAGTCAAAGAGAAGAGCATAGCAATGTACAAGGTTTTTGAAAGTATTTCTGCTCAAATACTTGTAGGATAAACTGTTGAATATACTTCATATAAACATACTGCTTTTGTCTGTCCAATCACAGACACTCGACCATGGGCAGCTGTTTCAAGCTTTTTGGCACCTCAGCATGGTCTAGGTCTACGTGGACAATGAATGAAAGCATAGCAACTATCCTCTATCTGAGCTATGAGATCTAGCGATAGATGATGCTTTGAGCTACTATTTTATCATATTGTATTGATGATGGTTTTCTTGAGCAAATTAAGAAATCAATAATTATACACATTTATTTCTCTTAATTCTAGCAATACAAAATGTACAATTAAAATATCTTTGAGCTGTCCCTGGATTAACTCATTCCATGAGCTGTTTTGATACCCTTTTCTATATTCTGTTTCTGATGTGACATCTCTTTGTATGCTTGTAAAGCCAACTCTAATGCCCCCTTCTTATTAGAGCACTTCTTTATATAATGCTCAATCATACTGAGGTCATTAGTTTTTTCGAATTCAACTTTCTTGATCTTAGAATACAGCTCTATCAATGAATTAGCTTCATCAGCATAGCAAGTTTCTATGAGCTCCAACAGTAAGTTATCTATATTTTTATGCCAAACTAGAAAGAATGTTAATGCACCAAAATGCCTAGTTGATCTCAACTTATCAAATCCATTATTATCATTAATATGTTGGTATGTGATTGATGTGATTCTCTGGTAATCTGGATCATTAGGTTCAAATTGAATACAAGCGCAATCTAGAATAAACTCATATTCTTGCCTCTTGAGAAGATCTTCAAAGTCAGTGCCTTGGAACATTTTTGGAGGCTTAACAGATCTTCCTTTTTGTGGGAAATAAATTTGGTTTATTCTGTTTTTCACTTCCCATTCAGCTTCACATAAAGTGCCATCAGGTTGTCGGACGACAATTAATCTATCTGAATCTTTGACACCAAAAGTTATATCAGTAAATACCATTTTGCTAGTCTCTAAGCCTTGTAGTTCAGGATCTAGTGATAATATTTTACTTATTGGTTTCCGTGCGGGCACAACAGGTGGTATTTGCAAAAGACTGTTAGCTTTCTGTTGCGCCTTCTGTAAAGCTTCTTGCAACTCCTCATCTGTCATGAACTTGTATTCAGGATCACGGACTTTTTCATCCCCAAGTTTTCGCCTTCTGAATACCTTATGCAAGTCGACTCTCGTAAGCGTTCGTAAGAGATTTTGAATATCTTTATTGAAAAAGGATGGTCTGGGGTCCCGTTGTTCATCTACAAACAATACAGTTGAAAACCAAATGAAAAGCACAAGATAACAGTTAGCTTACCGTATTCCACTGTAGAGTAATTCAAGAGACGTTTGAAAATGGTAAAGTGTGCAGAGCTTAAATTTTCTGCTTTCAAACATTTTGATACCAAACGAAATGCAGCCATAATTTCTAAATTTGGTTTTTTAAAAGATAAGGTTATGTGTGTGTGTGTAATAGTGTAGTGTAATATGTGTTGCCTAGGACATAGTAGGTGTAAATTTACAGCCGCAGAAACTTTCAGCACGCTATCTCCTAACTATATTCTTTTTCTAGCTCTATAGGAGACTGTCTCAGTCTCAGAGTTCTTCTGATTGTGCCAATAGCAACGACATTGTCAATTTTAAAGTTGCTCTAATCTAAAATCTAAAGCTCTTTAGAGTGATCCAGTGTTGCCAGGTGGACTCGACGATATGTCAGTAGAATTGTTTGGAATTTTTTGGTAGATTGAATACCGAGGAGTAAATGAACAGGAGTAAATAAACAATTATATTTACCTCAAAATATACTCTAAAACAGAAAGACAAAACAAAAATAAACAGCTTATATCTCACTTCAGCTAACTAAAAATAAAGTTCTCTTAATAAAAAACAGAAAAAGTGTATAAAATAAAAAATGTGTAAGCTATATTGGATAATCATTCTTCGGATTCATTTTTGTATAAGTTTTTATCAGTCATATTATGTACTAATTTTGCTTTGACAAATGGTCCATCAGCAGGAATGGCAAATTATGCTCGGCCAAAAATGCGCGCAAACGAATTTCTCCTGGAAACAATAAAATAATCTCAAATCTTCTCCAATGGATTAATTACTTTTACCTTCTTTAATATCATTTTCTAATTTCTTTGATGCAACTGCAAATGACAACAGTTTTGGCTGTTTTGCTATGGTTTGCACTTTTTTATGAAATTGCCCATTTGCGTGTTTTATAAGTGAATCTCTTCCACATTTGATATTAATATCTTTATCACACACCATGCATTTCGCATAATCGCGTGCTTTATTGCTTTTTTAAGCCAGCCTTGGAAATCTGGCAATTCTTCCCAGACTTCCTTAAAATGTTGGGCACACGCACGCGAAAAAAAAAATGACTGCAAGACAAGCAATACTAATACTGGCCGAATTCGGAATTACTAAGTACACGAAATCATACAATATGTCACGAGCCGCTAAGCCTAGGCGATGTAGCCAAATCATAGAGTATCTTCGGTGATTGCCCAGATGAGAAGAATCAGCGTATGTGGCACACCAATGTCAGGCAAAGATAACAAAAATATATCTGGTCTAGTACGAATAATAATAGTATTTTTGTCATTCTTTTTATCGCTATGCATCAGAAATATTTTTCTTATATAGGGAAAACATATTATTCAATCTAAAGAAAGGTCCACTTTTCGGTAGATTTTGCTTTAAAATCGGTAATTCGGTACACCAGGACCAAAATGGGTAGATCTACCGATTTTTCGGTAGATCTGGTAACACTGCACTGATCCATAGCCCTTACCTCGTTAGCAGCTTTTTTCCTGCCAGAGATTTCCTGCTGAATGACTGCTCTGCTCACAAGCCACAAAACTCTCACAAGCAATGCCGCCATATGCTATGCTGGTTGTATAAGTCGTATGTCTCACTGCTCACTGGAATTACTTCTATTTGACAACTTCCTTTTTTACCGACAAATGGGAAAAGGAGGGCAAACGCAAAAGTCAAATATAAAGGGTCGTGACAGCTGTCAAATAGCCGAATTTCATAACGTTAAAAAATAAGGAGTAAAGAAATTATTATGTTAAATAGTGTAATAAATTTTCAATGGAGCATTTAATTGGAGGTAGATTTGGGTAATAAAATAAAATACATTTTTCTGAGTTCAAGTTAGGTTTAAACTGGATTTTTTCAGTCGAGTTATAATAAGCTCATATTCCAAAAATCCTTACAAGTATGGTCATAGGAAGCATTTCCAGAGGGGTTTTTGTAGTATATGGGTTGGAAGAGGGTTTGACAGGTCCAGACCTCTCCTCAAACAGCAATATTTCCACCAAAAAAGAGACTATGGCATGCTGGTAGTTCGAGCTTTGAGAAGTGTTCTCAAAATAAGATATTTATTAATCGGAGGTGCTGTAGCTGGTGGGGGTGCTTTACAAAAGGTATTGTTAGAGTATTAATTCTAGAAAATAGATAATTGATAATTGTCGATTCAGAGGTACAATGATTGGAAAGATGGCCTTCCAGACTTAAAATGGTTAGAAGATGTATTGCCTGATAATGAAAGGTTTCAACAGTGGAGAGGAAATTTGGTACAATTCAAAGATAATCTGAAAAATAACATTGAAATTGATCCTAGGCTGAAAACCTTGAGTGAATCAAAATATCAGGAATTCAAACAGTGGTTTGATAAACGATTAGATGATGCTATAGCTGCAGCAGAAGCACAAGAAGATTCAACAGCAGCAATTGAGGGTAACTCATTTTACTTTATATATTTTGAGTACAATCTATCTGAGGCTTAAGGAAATGAAATTAATGCTGGTATATATATATATAACACATTTTGTTGTATCACATTTATTTTTTATCATTAAATTAAAATGTTTATTCTGGTACATCTGATGGAATACCTATTATGTGTGCTGGTAATCAAAAGGGATTCATAGATTATTATGATTTATGTTTCTTGAAATGACCCCTACTAATCTGAAAACAAGATGTCCAGTTTTTTTACTTTAGTTTGTATTCTATAATGGATGCATTTGAACTAAACAAATATATAATTTAAGCTGATATATTTTTTGAATACCTTCAGTTTGGTCATGTAAACAGCCTTTTTATGGAGCAATGTTCTTTCTATGAATCATCAAAAGCCTCAACTGGCATGAACTAAAATTTGGTATGTGGATTTACCTAAGTATTGTCCACATTCAAGTCTACCCAAAATTAACATGCACCAGTGGCGCAGATACAGGGGACTAGTGGCATTTTTCCAAATAAAGATAGAACACCACTGTTTTTTTTTGTCTTAGAGTGCACTGTTTTTGTTAAAATAAAAATAAAACAAATTAGATCATTCATGGAGAGCTGAGATACAATTAGTTTCAAAATAAAATAGGAGGCCTTAATACCAACTTCACGTTGCTTGGGAATATGTCGAAGTTATGTGTTATGCAGTTGTTATCGTTACTACTACCATTTTTGTTTTTTGTAAAAGTCAAATCAAAAGTTTCTTTTTTCCATTTTGGCGTGTCGTGAAATGGAATTTAGCAATGATGAGTACGCCGATATTATTTTTGTGTATGGTTTCTGTAATGGAAATGCTTTAGCTGCTTCTCGGGATTATCAACGTAGATTTCCTCACAGACGCCAACCTACCCCAAAGGTTTTTACGCGTTCATTTCTAAGACTTCGGTAATATGAAATTGCCAAACTTCCCGGAGTTAGAGACCATGGTGTCCGGCATACTGTTCAAAAGGAACTTGAACTGATTAATTTAGCGTTGGATGATTCTAGGCACTCGAAATCAGTTTGAAGGATTTTCCATTTTCAGGTAATCAGGCGTTTAAGTAATACACGAGAATTCTCCAGTTATCAGCATGCATGTAATTCTTTAAATGACAGTGTTCAAAAGTATTATGCTTGATCTCGGTTAATGTATCCAGTTCATACAGTTACCGGTTATTATATGAATTTGTCATGTATGAAGTCAGCTTCTATATCCATCTAGAACTGACATCACTAGAATATGAAAAAATGTGTACTGCATCTTCCGAACGCGTATCAGCAGTAATAGAAACACAATCCTGGTATTAACAGTTTATTTTCTTGGTCCATTTTTTCACTCCTTTCCTCATCTATAAGGAATCTCATTTCATACCTCTCGAAAACAATTTGGCTGATTGTAAGGAAACTACTGCCTCATAGATTAACGAATTTGTATGATTTTTCTATTATTTTAAACTTAGCCATTGGTGTTTCATACATTTTGATCAAACGTGTGACGGTAATCGTAGGAAGTAGTAGGTTGCTGAGCAAGGTTTACACGGCGATTACTGTGAAGGCGCAGTTCAGACAGCCAATTTTCCGGTTGTTGACTGAGTATACTCACCATTCAAGAAAATAGTAGTTTTTTCAAAGGAGAGGAAAATTCTAGGTAGTTGTAGTAGCAACCGAACCTGGCATGCAAATTCTGTGATCAAAGCTGAATATCCAATTCCTGAATGACCAAGGATGTATTGTATGAAGTTGCTTTAAAATGGATAGTTTTCGATATACAGCCTTGGCCAGAAGTATTGAGCACCCTAAAAATATTGTAAGGACGCTATAATGATAGATGAAAAGAAAAACTGAAGGTTACAAAAATATTTGTAGGTATCCAGACCAGTTTGTAAACAATACCATATCTGCTTACTATCGCTAAGACGTCTAGTTTTTTAGAGATTACTCAGTTTTACCTTTTCAGTGCGAATGTATCATTTCGCTTCTATCGTTCGTTGTGATCAATTCAGTGATTTAGTGAGACTTTGATAATTTTATTTCGAGAATTTAACTAATACTCTCGCAATATGGCAAACAAGAATGAAGTGAGCATTGAAAAACGTGTGAAAATACAGGTTCTTCATGAACAAGGGAAGTCCCAAGTAGACATTGCGAAAACAGTGAAGTGTTCGCATCGATGTGTACAAAATACACTATTCAGCGATTCGCTCAGACCGGTTCACATAACGATAGACCTAGAAGAGGCCGCAAACGCATCGCCACAGATCGTGAAGACAGAGTATTGACCAGAGAGTCTTTGAAAAAGAGGAAAAAAACTTCTATTGTCCTCGCTGCCGAGCTATCAGTGCAGACTAATAGACCAATTTCTACCCGAACTACTCGCAGAAAGCTTCAAGAAGCTGGTCTAAATGGCCGCAAAGCCGGAAAGAAGCCATGGCTCTCAGACAAAATAAGAAGGCTCGGTATGATTGGGCTTTAAAATACAAAAACTTCACTGAAGAGGATTGGTCAAATATTGTATGGTCAGACGAATCAAACTTTGAGGTACGTTAGTTGATTTGATGCAGTAACGAGATGTAACAATAATTTTTGAAACAAATTGTATCAATAAATTATTCAACTAACCAACTACTTAATATTTCTTAATTTTTCAGATTTTTGCTACACCTAGTGTGACATTTGTTCGTCGTCGAGTAGGAGAAGAATTCAATCAGGAGTGTGTGGTGTCTACTTTGAAACATGGTGGCGGCAGCGTAATGGTCTGGGATTGCATGAGTCGGAAAAATGTCCGTGTGTGAGGGTCGCATGGATTCCACAAAGTACATAAACGTACTTGCATGTGCTGTTTTGCCGTCGTTTACCGCACTTTATGGTGATACCAACATGAATGGTGTCAAATTCCAGCAAGATAATGCGCCTTGCCACAAAGCTGCACGGACAAAAAGGCTTGGTTCAGAGAAAACTGTATCGAGCTTCTGGGTTGGCCTGCCCAGTCACAAGACCTGAGTCCGATTGAACATTTGTGTAACTTATTAAAACGCATGATCAGGCGTCACACAATCAACACAGAAGAAGAGTTAAAGCGCCGCCTACGTGAAGAATGGAACGCTTTAACTTACGAAGAATGTAATAAACTTGCACGATCTTTACCTAGAAGAATTTCTGCTGTACTTAAGGTGAAAGGAGGTCCCACAAAATATTGATTTTCTTCTCATAATAAGACATTTATGACTATAAAAAATTCTGTCAATTTATTCCAATATAATAGTCCCCTAAAATTGAAAGATATCGAGGGTGCTCAATACTTTTGGCCAAGGCTGTATTTTGAGTAAATTACAAAGGTATAAGTTCATTATAAATTCCTAGGAAAAGCGGAATAGGGTTAACATGAAATGGGAACAAAAAATAAACTGACAAGTTCCGGATTTTTATTAGGTTTTTCGGAAAGTTCTTGCGGTTTTTAACCTTCAAATTCAAAGGAGCATATCTCAGCTTTAACAAAACTTTATTAATCAAAATAAAAACCATTAGAATCAGTACACGTTTGCCAGCGAGAAAAAGGTTATGTCGCTAACGTAGAAATCCGGAGTTCCGGAGGGGATGAATCATTGAAGGCATTTTTGGCATCGTCATGGTTATTAAAGCATTTCTCACGAAAGAAGCTGTCGAGGTGTTTGAAAAAGTGGTACCGTCATTTGGGGAGACATTGATCAAAATACTCAAATTTTTCGCATTATTTTTTTTATGTCAAAATATTATTCGGCTATAATGATCGAATCTGATACATATTATGGGTAAGAATGGCACAGCAGGTGCAAAGAACCACAGTGTTTGAAACTATAACCCTAACGGAACTAAAAACGGCTGATCAATTTCGTACTTGTTTTGGGGCGAGTTTGTTCACATAGGTAGTATTAATTGCATTTAAAATGAGAGTACAGGTTCCTGAATGAACAATCTCAACTCTGGTTATTATATTTCTACTGGTTACAGAGTTACAGCATTTTAATGTAGGTGGGGTGAGATTGTTCACTATGGGTGAGATTGATAAACTGTATTTTATTGTATGTGTTCCAGTAAATAATGGCCAAAAACATCTATTTGGTTGATACACAATCTTTATTTTTCCAGATACCTCACAAAAAAATATTTTCTTATTTTGAAATAGGTGCTTACCCATATCTATAACTAATACAAATAACTTAAATAAGTCTCCTAACAGTTGAGGTAGAATATAAAAAAGAAAAACTACGTTGCGAATATATCTATCATATTTTCAAAACGATAGGTGATAAGCCCGTCTGAATTTTCCACGACAGGATCCGGTAACACAGCTACTATGTCTGGAAAATCCACTAGAAATTCGTCGCCATCTTAAGCTTTAAATTTATTCTTAGATCCATCTACAGACTTTAATCCCAACACCTCGAATTCTCGAACATTTTGACTCTCGGTCACATTTTGCACAATGGCATCATATCGATTAGTTTTTTTTCTAGATCCACCACATACTTTAACTAGAAGAAATTTGCCAGAAAGTATATATCTTTCTGTTGGTTCAAATTATTCAGTTTCTGGTTCGGTGATGGTTTGTAATGAGTTTTCACTAGAGCTATCATTAGTTTGAGGATCGTCGTTCATTTATGAGTCGCTGTTGCTAAAGAACGTTGCCCAGCGAATCTTCAGTGTTCGTATCAGTGGTTTGGCTTGGATTTTTTCGCAGAACTCGTTCAGCATCCAGAGGAGCTATACCAGTTGCACGAAATGAGCTTATCAAGTCTTTCTTTATAGCATTCTCATGTTTTGGTTTATTTCTACAAGGGTAGAAGTTAATACGCTGGGAAAATCCTTTTTATCTAGACTAGACTGATGGGGATGAGCTTTCTTCCATTTTGTTACGGAAGACCTCCAAGCTATCTTGAAAGGGCGAAAGAATCCGACATCTAATGGCTGAGTGAGATTGGGAGGCA